TTTTTTATTTTTACTATTTATTAATTCTTTTCTTTTTTAATGTTTATAACATTATTAAAATCTTATAATTTTAATCTTTATAATTTTATCTTACTTTTTATTTTATAAATATAATTTGAATTATTTATTTTATAATTAAATTAGTTTTTTTTATATAATTTTTATAGGTTTATATAAAAGAATGTTTCGAAACTTTTCAATTTTTGAGGGTACCGTAGAAACTACCTTTTGATCTTATTCCTTGAACTCATTGGTTTCCTGTTGTGCTTGTAATCTTATTTTCCGTTGAATGTATTATATTGATACCATTATTTTAGGTTCCGCCATGCACTCAGGATCAATAACAACAAATTACTAATTAGAATCTATGTTGTTACTCGAATTTATATATGAGTTGCTAAGATTTCCATTTTTTATTTTTACAAATACTCAATTAAAAAAGATTTATCCAAATCAAGAACAAAATTAAATGGTAATATATATAGACATAGATAAATAGATTGTGTAATATATATATATATATATATATGGTGACTACATTCTTGGATGACGAAGTCTGTGGACTAATATGTATTCATGTGGTGCAGATTTTGTTGTTATTGGTTGATATCTCATTCTTCAGTTATAAATTCTACTACTTTCTCGTAAAATAGAATCTTATATTTGTTTTAATAAAATATTAATTTGTTAAGAATTATTTGATGTGTGTCATAACTAAAACCTTTGAAAAGGCACATTATTAGTTGTGTGTATCTTGGATCTTTCCAATCTAGCATCTTACTATTTAAAATCAATTCTTTTGTATTCAATCTTTCGATTCTAAATTTTGCCCATCCAATATGTTGGCAGGAAATAACAGGATTCTTTTTAAATCACAGACATACAACTCTAGCTTCAAACACATCATAGACGCCTATGGTTGGAAGGAAGATAAGGAGGAGAGGGACATGGATTATTATGGAAACAATTTTATCTTGATTTCTAAGTATCTACCTACCTCTTCAGTAAACGACATTATTTATGGCTCTTTTTGAAGTTCTTTGGGAAAATTTTTAAGTTTTATAGTATTTTAAGTAAAATATTTACCTTCTTTATAAGTAACTTGGTGCACTCTTAATACACCTTTCGGGTATATTAGCATTGTTGTACGTATAGTTGCGTCGTGATGTTCCCAAACGGTATATTTATATGGTTTAATGGATTTCTTTTTTCTCGTTATCTGTGGGTTTATTTGTCAAAAAATAGTGTGACAGTTATATCCATTTAGGATTCAAGGTACAGTTTGTTATTGAGCATAATTATGTTAATGACTTTATTATAAACAAAGTAGTAAGGAAATACTAAAACTTTAAATTCAATTTTTTTCTAAATATTACATTAGTAAATTACCTTCTATTCCTACGTAATTTTTTTTTATTAACCCTCAAATAATTTTTTTTATCAATAAAATGGTAAATAGGACTCAAATAATCTTTTTAATAAGTGTTAGGGAGCCCGACTTATGTAGTATGCGAGTTGTCCTTGATTGACGTATATTATGTTTTAAACACGACCTACTATTGTTAGAATAGTATATATATCAATATATCTAATATCATATTCTCTTTGATTTTCACACTATGGTGGTGAAATTATTTTGTAGTAGGCTATTCTTTTGGTTGTTTCTATGATATATAGTTGCATCAAAAACTTGGGATTAAATGAGGTTATTTTTAATTTTTATTTTATTAAAAATGATTTTCGCAAAGCAAAAAGATTGGAAATTGGTTTCCTCTAGTATATCGTATTCTTGGGTTGGACTTTGAAAATGGATGTTTTAAACCTATTGAAGATCTTTTATATTTTGAAATGTTTCTTTGCAATTTTTGTTCGATATATTTTCCACTCAGCCATGTCATAACAACATTCTGATTTCTTCGTTACGCTAGATTGGATCATAGTTTAAATGTTAACAACTTTTGTGAGAATCCTATCACACAAAAGTTAATAATATATTATTACTAAAATATTTATTAACATATGAAATGCATAATTTTTTTTTGTTCCATATACATTATTTTTGTTCCATATACATTACCTGTTCTTTTGTCATGAAAATTTGTGGAGGAACATGCAACTTCTAGAGATGAAGTTTATATAGAATTACTAGTTCCAAGATTTAAGTTATGTTTTATGTCATGAACTCTTTTTTTCTTGTTTTCACCTATAACTTTTAATCAAAGATCATAATCAATTACAAGATGAGATGAAGTGCCTTCTCCATATCTTTGTGTCATTGATTCTTCATATATTTCATTCAAATAATAGACAAAAGAAATAAGTGAAATTATAAGAGGTTAAAAAAGTAATCAATCTTAAAATATAAAATTACACACTAAATTTTTTTGCCCTATTTGAGACAAATTCACCATCATTCTTTTTTGTAGACTTTGTTATACACTTCACAATAAGAAATAAGACGATTCTCTTCCACCTCCTTTAAAAATATTATGGTATAAACTATAAGTAATGAAATTTACCAAAAAAATTCATTACTTTTTGAAGCCTCCAACTTTTAGAAACTGTGCTATTAGTGAAGTCCTTATTTTTATGTATTTAAATATGGAGAGGAAAGATGTCTCTTTCTCCTAAAAGATTGAATCATAATATTTTAGAAATGAAATCATAGATTAGTATCATGTCACAACATTAGTGCAACACTCTAGTGTATTAGTCTTGTTCCAATCACTTCTCATGGTAGAAATAAAATAACAATGACAACATTTGATTTACATAGCAACATGATCCTCCTAAAAAAAGATTAAATAAAAAGCTAACATCACTTATTAATTATTGACACAATTTAATATGATATGATTTTCATAATTTTTTTTCCGTTGCCCAAAGTTTCTTGACTTTGTTGTGCGCATTATTATTTCAGGTTAAGCAACCCTTTTTTGTCTTTTAGTTATAAATTTCTTTTACCATTTTGGTGTCTCTCAATGTTGATCAACCCATTCCATATTTTAATTTTCCCATGCATGCATGTCTTTTTCCAAACCTTCCTTACTATCACAAGATCATATTTTGATGCAAAACAATATTTTTCCTACAATAATACAACTTAAATAAAAAAGAAATAGTTGTAAATATGATGATAAAATATATAATACTATTATTATAACTATACTTATCTTAAAATTATTAAATAACATTTGCGAGAATTTTGCAAACATATTATTCCATTGATAAATAACTATTGATTATAGTAAAGGAATAACATAAAAAAAAAAATTGAGCACAATTTTGTTACTATTCAATAAGAGAAACTATACATGCTAATTCATCACAAAATAGTAAGAAAAAAAATGAGACAAACATATCCCTCTTGACTCCCTCACTAATTAGCTACAAATTAATGAGGAAGATAGTCTCTCACTAAAATCCTTTGTTAATTTGCAATTTTTTATAGTATTAACCGATAGAGAACAAATGTATTGTGAAATTGTTGCCGTTAGGGAAAACAGTACGTATGTATAGGTCTCAACGAATTTAGGATTTGAAAGAATCAAGATACTCTCCACCATCATTTTCTCGACTCTTAATCACTCTCTATCACAAACTGTTTTATCTTCTCAACACTGAACCATTTATGGTGTGTTTGAAAAAACGTTCAGTTAAATGTAACTCACGTTTTTTCTAATCTATGGATATAGTTACTTTGTCATTTGGAGCATCGGAATATGTGAAAGCTCATTTCAAAATATTGAAATGGAAAACCAAACATGCTCTTAGTTCCCACATTCTTTCGCACTTTCTTTTCTATGCACAGTGCACACACTCACGATATATACTAAGTTCTTCTACTATGGAGACATTCCACAAGCATCAACATACGCATCACTCATAATATTCTTTCCGATTTTCTCTTCCACATCACTCAGACACACACACATACGCTCCGACATTCTTCTTTTTATATTTTCGTGTCACCCTCTCAGCACACACATCACAAGACTGCACCATAGCACTACACCTTCACCTTTTCACGCTCCCATGCACCGCTTATTACACATGCAACAAACATCATTTTTCCAAACTCACGATATCAAACTCAGAACCACCATACATTCACTTTCTTTGGTTAAAAGGGGCCTCGAGTTACTACCTTCAAGAACCGTATTCCAAGAATCACGTAGGCACACCCCTGCACCAGAGTCCAGAATGTGCTTCACCGTTCACGTACGTATAAGCACCGATACTAGCTAAAATGCATGACATTGAACCAAGGTGCCATGCATAGGCGTGTGTAGTGGCGGATCCAAGTCCTTAAATTAGTGAGAATAATTTTTTTAAAAAATTTAAAATTGATAATCATCACGTCATATATATAAAGAAAGAAAACATATATATATAAATAATCATTAGTAAATTTAATATATAAAATTAAGAATATAAAATATAATAATTTTAAATATACACTAATAATCTACTCACATTTACTATAATATTGATCTATCACTGCGTGTGTATGACAGGAACTAGATCACAACATGAGGTAATTTTTCTCTTTTTCCTTCTAAATATTTATTGTGCTCACACTAATATAAAAGATGTATTTTATGTCGGTTATTTTAAACTTTTTACGTCAAAAAAAATACCGACGTAAATGCGGGAGACGTAAATCTACGTCGGCATTGTAAAACCGACGTAAATTTACATCGGACATTACCAAGGTCCGACGTAAAAAAGTAGTAAAAAAAAAAACATAATAAGGGCAAGCAGAACGGACCGTTCTACTTGGAGAACAGGCCGTTCTGCTTCATAGAACAACGCAAAAGAAAATGCCAACAACCCATATAAATAGAACAACCAAAAAATTGAATAGAACAGATAACCACAATAGCAATACGAAGCAAAAAGGTGTTATAACGAAACCCTGATTCATACCTGCAACAGTGTGCGAATGAGTAACAAAGAGTTCACCCCACTCTGCAGAAGACAAAAAAACGATTCAGTAACAAATTCACTCCTCTGTCATTTGGTTTTATTTTGCTTGGTGTTATATATGTTTCATACTTGAGCTTTGACAAATTGTTTTTAATTTGTAAAGGTTTGTTAGTCGTGACTGTTATAATAAAGTAATAACAAATTATAGTGATTAAAATACAAATATTTTATAATCTAAAGGGAATAACTGAAATTAGTTTTTATAATTAATCTTAAATATTACTCAATCAAAAAAGATAAATCAAATGTGACGTTTTCTTGACCTTTAATTTTTTTTAATAGAATGTGAGTTGTGATAACTTGATTGTTTTGAAATACATAACTTGTTCGTTTTAATATTTTAAAAAATATTTCAAATATTAAAATTAAGTATTTATGATTTAACTACCATAAACAATATTGCTTTGAATTTTTTTTAGCTAAAAATGGTCAATTAGGTGTCATATGCGTTTGTGATATCTAAATTTCTAGAAATATGTATGAAAATATGAAAGTTTTGAGATTTTTTAAAATGAAGTATTTAATTTATAAATTATGAGCTAATTAAAATTATTTTTCTTAACCTATCAAGAAAATTAATAATTTAAGAGCAAGAAATATTTTGACATAGAAATGATTATAATGTGACATTTTCTTAATTCTAAAATTTAAGGATACAAATTGTGGCAACTTATTATTTTAAAGTCCTTTTGTTAGTTAAAAATGCAGTTTATTATGTAAAATAATAGAAATAATAATACAATGTTTAATAAAATACTTAACATTATCATTAAAGCTTTATTAGGGAAAAAGACTAACTAAATATAACAATTACTTAATCTTAGAATTTTGAGACATAAAATGATAATTTGATGTCTTTAAATTTTTTGCTAAAACAAAAATATTGAGCCAAAATTAAGTCGATAACAAAGTTAACTCAAAACTATATTTTAACTGTATATTTATATTTAGGACATATAAGTTGTTACATGTATGTCAAAATTCTTAAATTTAATTAAAATACTAATACACAAATATTATGATAAATAATCATGTGATTCTAATTTTTTATTATACATAAAGCTATGTAGGAGTAGGAAATTATTCCTATTGAATAAAAAATAAAAATAATATCATCCTTCCTCTATCGTAAAAATAATAATGAAATTGTCGTAAAAATAATAATAAAACTTAGAAATAAGCACATATATTAAACATCTCAAATAAACCCTGTATGATAATTAATTAATTTAAGATGAAATAAATATTTAAAAATTATAAATAATTTACTTGATTAAGTACACAACGTTGAAGGAGTATGTTGTTTTCTCCTTTGATATCAAGAATGACACATAGCAATGTTTCTTGCGGCTCATTGATGAATGGTTTGGTTGTCAGCCATAGCTTGGAGTTTGTGGGGCTTGCCTTTCTTAGCTTGTGAAGTTATTTTGTGGTCGGCTAATTTCTTGGTGGCTATTATTTTTATGATAGTTGCATCAAAAGTTTGGAATTATGACAATTTTATTGAATTAATTTCTAAATTATTTTATTTCTATAAGTATACGATAAAAGAAAAAGTTAATTAGATAAACATAATTATTCTTAAAAAATTTTGAATTTAAATCTTATATGCAATAGTGGGGGAAAAAAAAAGTAATATTAAAAAAAACAATTATAACTATTTAATTAATAAAACGGGGATAAGGTAGGAAACGAAACGAAATGGCAGTTGCGAGGTGTTGGTGGCTGGCACAGGCATGGGATTTGAAGTCGGCAACGGCACTCTCACTCAAATGGAAATGTCAAGCATTTTCTGAATCCTCTTGTTCTCTTCTTCACAACGACCACGACGATCTTCAACGTCTCTTACACATCCTTCCATCTGATTTGCATCACAATCTCCTCAATCAACCTAATCGCCCTCAACTTCTCGAGGTCAATTTGCAATTTCATCGCTTCTCTTTCTCCTTCTGATTCATTCTACTCAATGCTTCGATGTTCTTTAGGTTATATTGGATTTGGGACGTTTTCCAGAAGCGCGTTATCTAGACAGACACGGAGGCCAGTATTTAAGGAACACAGAGGTAAACCATACCATACCATACCATACCATAGCATGCCATGCCATGCCAAGTTCCATGCACTTGTTTTCAATGCTACTTTTATTGTGTAGCTAGGTAACGGTGAAGGAGTTGGAATATGCTGAACAAGCTGTTGGGGAGTTTGGGAAGGACAATAGAGCTGGCATTGAGGGTACGTTGCACAGAATATCTGCAATTAGGAGTAGGAATGGTGACATTGTCGGTTTGACGTGTCGCGTTGGGAGGGCAGTCACTGGCCAGATTGACATGGTTTGTGATCTGCTTCAATATGGGAAGAGCATTTTATTTGTTGGAAGGTATATGTTTGTTTACTCTTTCTTACTCGTATTTTAATGGGAGCTTGTGAAATAAAGTTAGTTTGATTCATTCATTGTATTAGATAAGAAATAGTCATGATGTGGTCCTTTATCCTTTTGTCTTAATTTTGGTCTAAATATCACGTGGTTTGGTATTTTTTTTTAAATGTAAAAATGCTTGGTGGATTGGATTCCTTGTTTGGCATTGTCAATTGTAGTATATAATCTATGTTGCTCGTTTGGAACATTTGTAAAACTTATGTCAGGTATCAATCTAATAAATTGTAACTTAAAAGCCCCTTATCATGATGTATTGAATTACTAATCCAATAAGGTATTAAAAGGTTCAACTCAAAGATTCGCCGTGCATGCATGATGTCCCTCCAAAGATTTGATGATGGGTTTTCTTTTTCTTGGAACTCCTATAATTTGGATTTTCTCAGGCCTGGGGTTGGCAAAACTACTGTTATGCGAGAGATTGCTCGTGTACTGTCTGACGAGCTTCACAAAAGAGTGGTATGCTGATTTTTTCGGTAGCTTGCAGCATTCTTTCTTCCTCAAAGTACTTCTGTAGATCAGCTCATGATGTGATAAATTCTTGCAAATTGGGTAGGTGATTGTTGATACCAGCAATGAAATTGGAGGCGATGGCAATATTCCACACGCAGCAATAGGTGGTGCACGAAGAATGCAGGTTCCTGACCCATCTATGCAACATAGAGTGATGATTGAGGCAGTAGAAAATCACATGCCTGAGGTGATTATAGTAGATGAGATTGGCACAGAAGCTGAAGCTCATGCTTGCCGATCAATTGCTGAGCGAGGAATCATGCTTATTGGGACTGCTCATGGACAGCAGCTTGAGAATATCATCAAGAATCCTACACTTTCTGATCTGGTTTGTTTTTTTTATTTCTATTTGGTTGTGCCAATAACATTCAAGAGTTTGTAGTTTTCCCTCCCATATTTAGGAAGTTGAGCTAGTAGCTTCATCGAGTCATTTGTCTGACAATGCTTCCTAAAACCTTGTTCGATATAAACTTAAGCTGGATTGGTTTTATTTGGTTGTAATGTCAGTTTGTTGCTTTCTTGAGTGTCAAAATGCCTTCAAAGAAAAATATTTTAGTCTTCCTTTATGTTTTTCGTAAGTAATGCTGTTTAGAAGAGGCTTGAAACTCAATCCTATTTTACGGTGTCATAGAGTTTTCAACTTTTCATTGACATCAATTTTCAAAAGTATCCGAAAAAATTATATCATTCATTCAGTTCCAATAAGCATCGAGTAGATTAATATTTGATGTTAAAGAGGTGCTTGATTTGTGGAGCTTTGAGTCATTGTGCAACATAACCAACTGAATATTCAATATTCACCTCCATTTTCTTTATCAGATTGGAGGAATAGAAACTGTTACTCTAGGAGATGCAGAAGCCAGAGCGAGAAATTGTCAGAAGACAATTCTTGAGAGGAAAGCACCTCCAACATTTGATTTTTTAATTGAGATGAGAGATAGACACTACTGGCTTACACATCAGGTATGTTAATTGAGCATTTATTACTGCAGAAATGACAAGAGCCTTATCCCACTGAGTGAAGTGAGCTATATGGATCACACAATGCCATTGTACTTAGGTCAAAAACTAAATTCTAGACATTCATAATATCATTCACCTTGAAATATTTAGTTTTTGACCCAAGTACAATGGCATTGTGTTGAACAAGTGATTTATAGGAACACATTAGATATTATCATTCAAAAATGTAGTAGGAAATTCTGTCCCTAGAACATGAAAAATGTTGAACACATGATTTATCTGAGAGAAAAAAATGGTTTACAAGATCACATCAATTGTTTTATAGATGACATGTATTCCTTTACATTTTAGTGACAATTTATTTCACACTCTTGCTTAAAACAATTTTTATAGAAGCTTTTCTTTTGTTAGTACTAGTTTATATAAAGTCATTTTTGTTGTTCATTTTAATATCTTTTCAAAATAAAACCAGTGATATTATCTAGCCATTTGAATATGAAATTCACATATAGCACAATAGTTGTACCACAATTCAGGAAAGAAAGAGTACTGTTAATAGAGAGGACTGTCATTAATATTAGGCCACTTAAAAGGTATATATGTCCTTGGTTCAAAGCTCAAAGTGAATATGATTCTCCTGCCTCTTATTTGGTGGTGTTGTTTTATTGATCATTTGCTTTTGTTAATGACAAATTACTAGAGCAGAATTATATGGGCCAAATAAAAGGCCAGGGAGGGTAGTTTCTGTTAATCATTTGAAGGCATTGATAAGCTAATTTGTGAGTTGGTTTTAATTATCATTTGTTTATATCTTGTTTTCCTTTTGCAGACAGACAAAAGTGTAGATATGTTGCTTCGGGGGAAAGTTCCACAGGTTGAGGTAATTCTTTAGTGTTGTACTTCTTCAGTTCGTTTGGTTGAAAGCTTTTCTATTATTATTATTTTTTTCCTGCCTATACACCATAATCCTTTTTGACATATATTGGTTGCTGTTGGACATCATGTCTGATCTATTACTATAACATTTTCCTGCTGAAAATGACTATTAGCTTGAGTTTTCGGTTGTGACCAGATGAAAAGCCTTAAATTTTAATTCAGTTTCTTCACTATTTTCTGAAACTACTTAATAAAGAGCAAAAAGACATTATTAGCCTTCTGAGATTGTAGATAAACTGAAGTAACTATTTTCATAGAAATATGATTTTGCACCCGGCTTTATTGTTCTTTTCCTCTTTTTCTTTTTCCCCAGTTTTCTTTCCCGATCGGATTAGGATTATATAACTGTGAGCCACAATGAATGTCCATCCATATTTTTCAGAAGCCCAAATTTGCAATAACTACATCCCTTTAGTCTTTTAACTTTTCAATGCCTTGGCTTCAACTTCACTATCGGTTCCAAATGTTTGGACCTTTGAAGTAGCATTCGGTAATTTGAAGATTTCCGTACGTAGGTAAATTTGGTGCATGTTTAAGTTGTCATATGGATGTTATTTCTCTTTTAAATTTGGTTAGTAGACTCTGATGCATATTATGTGTATCCTGTCATCATATGCTCAGGAAACAGGCCCGTAATAAGTTGTCATGTCTGACCAACATATAAACGAGCCTATTATGGAGATTTAACAGCTTCTTTCCACGATATTTCATTCTATGACTGATATTATCTCTAACATTGTTGCAGGTAAGAAGAAGAGATGAAAAATGTAAGGTCGTCATAGAAAAATCTAAAGCATATGATAAATGCGCAGTTTGATTTTTCCCTTTCCTATAGTATAATCGTTTGCTTATAAAACCCGATTCCGATTTAAAGCTATAAACCTGTTCATCATTTTGTAAATTATGTATTTGATTGATATTATGCATGTTTGGATCGGTGTTGGATGCTTTCGAAATCCACGTTCAATCTAAAATTACATTTTCTTGCTTTTTTTTTTCTCGAAAAGTGGAAATTGACGGATGTCGCTTTCATAAACACGTGCCCTTCTTTCTAAGCCCTTTATGATCCGGATGTAAACCATTTATAAGATGACATCTGATTGGAGTGAATTGTTTGATAGAGAAGAAATGTATAAAAAATAGGATAAAGAAAGTAAAAATAAGTGAGATTGATTAATTAAGAAAAGATAATGTGGTAAACAATTAAAGGATGATAAATTTTATTTTTTTTATGTATTTTTATTTATTTATTTTTCTCTTTATATATATATATATATATATATATTATTTCTCTTTAATCAAATATCTACTCTATTTTTTACTTATCCGCCATCCAAGTGCAATAGGCAAAAGCAAGTTTACCTTACAATAATTTTTTTTCCACTTTTTTTTTCTACTTTATTTTAGTGTTATTTTCATTATATTGAACACCTGCCCGGAGAAAAAAATGTGTTGATGAGAAATTTTTAGGATATGGATTTCAATTGTATTCTTGTGGGTGCGTTATCCCTTCGCTGAGTTTGTTCTGATCCCGAGGCATGAGCTTTTTTGTTGATTGATTGATTGATGATGTTCTGACTCTTTGCACTACTGTGCCATTATGGAAGTTTTCTGTCCTCTATCTATCTCTCTCTCCCTTTTTTTTTTCATTAAAATCAAAGGTTAAAAATTCATCTATCAATATAATGAGATTTATTTAAGAATTATCTCTCTCAAATATTTTTATATATACATATATTATAAATTCAACTTGTGATTACATACTTAAAATTATCTTATAATTATGTCATCTTGTTGGCTTTTTTTTTTTCGGTTTAACAATAATAATGAAGTATGAGCTCATGAACCACTACTCAAGCCCCTCCCCACTATCCCAATCCTTTTTTTTGGTTTTTCTCTATCTCTACCTTATGAATTCAAATTCATCTCCCTTAATCATTTTGAAAAAGATATACAACCATCTTTTTGCTATTTGTTGGGTAATTACATGGCCTAATTGTTATATGTAGCGGGCGGGTTTTCCAAAAAAAAATGTCTACGAGATGGCATATGCCAATTACACTAGCGTGTGGGTAACATTCGAAGTTTCAAACCACACAATTTTGTTCTAGCCCACTTATGAGTATTGACATGATTGTGTCAAAAGAAAAATGATATATCTTCATTTCGAAAGATCTTCCGACTGATTAAAAAGTTTTTTTAAAATTAAAGTTTATATTTTATAATTAAAAAAATTATAAATATGAATCATTATTAATTCAATGGTCAAAATTTCAGACGCTGTAACATTTCTGGTGTCAAAATCGTGGTACTGTATACAAAGCAGCTAAAAGTTTTTGGGATTGGGAGTACCTTTTGCATGGCATGAAAATTATGACATTTGCACTTCTGTATTTTGCGTCTATTTTTATTTATTTATTTTAATTTCTATTTTTGTGGTACACAATTTTGCATCTACTTTATTCTTGTAAAGGTTTCAAGTTGATCTAATCTGTTTCATTTTTTACTCCTTTACCAAACATTGGGGTCACGTATGTCAAATTCATCGCAATTTTATCATAGCCGGCTGATAACTTTTGTTTTATGAAAACTTTTTCTTGTTTTGTGTTTATAAGTAACAGCCAATTTTTTTTAATGAAATTTCAACTATCCTACTGAATATTTATAGTTGCAGATATATCATTATTCCAATTGCATATTATTTTAAAATTCATTAGCATGGGTAAATGAAGTAAAGACAAACGTATGGTTTGTTTGCATAGGATTTCAACAAGTAAACAAAGCTCAATGCATGGATTATCGCGGGCGTTGGATAGCAAGAGCTAAAAGTGACGCCAATTCGAGTTGACATTAACATTATTAAAAACCAATCGGATAGAATATAAGCAAACATAGCAGGCCACGGCAATTTATGTTCATAACTCAGCCGGCAAATATATTCTTGTCCTCGTGTGTAGCCACTCTCTCACGTAACCCACCTACACTTAGAATTTTTTCCCCGGATTTTTAAGTATTCTTGATGTTATTCTGTTTTTTTGTTTTTGTCTGCTTTCAATGAGAGGTTGATTCTATAGCAGTGTTCAAGTTCCCTCTGTGCCCTGGTCCCAAGAAAAGGAGTTCACTCTAATCTTCCAAATTCCAATATTAAACTATGGCCGTCCCCAACGTATGCATGGTTGCTACGTTTCTCCATCCTTTTGTCTTTAACTATCATAGTCATCCATCCAGTGACCATAAACTTAAACTAGTTCAGCACCAATTACAGGCCAGCTTGCTTCTAGCATTCAAAAGCTTAAGCCATGTTCTACTTCTTCAGAAGATTATGCCTTCTTTGTTTCCTCTTGCTATTCTTTGATGTTTCACTGTATTCATGTGCTTCACTCAAAGAGTTGACTTCATGCTTGGATAATCACAATATCAAAAACTTTACCACATTCCCCTACAAAGAACATGGGCAATCCTCTTCCTATAGTTACTTTAAAATTCTCAATTTTTCCATCCAAAACCTTCGATTCGCAGAACCCATGATTCCTAAGCCAATAGCCATTGTACTGCCAGAGAGTTTGGAGCAGCTACAGAAAAGTGTAGCATGCTGTAGAGAAGGCTCCTTGGCAATCAGAGTAAGATGTGGTGGACACAGCTACGAAGGGACTTCGTATGTTTCTGATGATGGCACTCCTTTTGTCATCATTGATATGATGAATCTGAATCATGTTTGGGTGGAAATGGAGTCAGAGACAGCATGGGTTGAAGGTGGTGCAACACTGGGAGAGACTTACTATGCAATCTCTCAGGCAAGCAATGAACATGGATTCTCAGCTGGGTCGTGTCCAACTGTCGGAGTTGGAGGGCACATTGGTGGAGGTGGATTTGGGTTGTTGTCTAGAAAGTATGGTCTTGCAGCAGATAACGTGGTGGATGCCCTTCTTGTTGATGCTGATGGGAAATTGTTTGATCGTGAAAGCATGGGAGAAGATGTGTTTTGGGCTATTAGAGGAGGAGGAGGAGGTCTTTGGGGGATTGTTTATGCTTGGAAAATCCAGGTGTTGAAAGTGCCACAAATTGTTACTAGTTTCACCGTATCTAGAACAAGCACAAAAAGTCATGTTGCCATGCTAGTGCACAAATGGCAATATGTGGCACCCAACTTGGAAGGTGACTTCTACTTGTCATGCTTTGTTGGTGCTGGTTTGCCCCAAGCTAAAACTACAGGGTTATCAACAACATTTAATGGCTTCTATCTCGGTCCTATGGCTAGTGCCATATCCATCCTAAACCAGGCTTTTCCTGAGTTGGGTTTAGTAGAAGAGGAATGCATAGAAATGAGTTGGATTCAATCAGTTGTTTTCTTCTCTGGCCTAAGTGATGGAGCCTTGGTCTCTGACTTGAAGAACAGGTATCTGCAAGAAAAACAATATTTCAAGGCCAAATCAGATTATGTAAAGCAACATGTTCCTCTTGTGGGCATAGAAACTGCACTGGAAATTCTCGAAAAGGAGCCTAAGGGATATGTTATTCTGGACCCTTATGGTGGAATTATGCATAATATAAGCAGTGAATCTATTGCTTTTCCCCACAGAAGAGGAAACCTGTTTACGATTCAGTACCTGATCTATTGGAAAGAAGCTGACAATGACAAAAGCAAAGATTATGTTGATTGGATAAGAGAGTTCTATGCTGCTATGACTCCCTTTGTTTCTTGGGGTCCAAGGGCTGCATATATTAATTACATGGACTTTGACCTTGGAGTGATGGAGGAGATTAGCAATGGTGCTAATGAGAAAGATGCTGTGGAAAATGCAAGGGTTTGGGGTGAAAAGTACTTCTTGAGTAACTATGACAGACTGGTGAGGGCCAAGACTTTGATTGATCCTAACAATGTTTTCAACAATGAACAGGGCATTCCTCCCATATCTTTGACCAGTCCCAATGTCAAAGCACAGAACACATAAATGATGCCATATTTGTAAATGGGATTACCATATTCATATGAATTGTGTGATATCACTGTGATCCCGTGCATCTGTGAGAAAATGCATTTCATTTTAGATTGAGCTTCAATCAATGGTAGTAACTGGATCAATCTAGCACTAGTAAGTTAAAAGTTGAATATGGACCATGTACAAGCTCTAGATTCAGTTTATAGCACATTTATGCAGGTTGGTTGAAATATGAAATGGAATATCTACCAATATCCTTTTTTGGTTTAGTAACGTTATCCCTACAATAAATTTATACAACGGTATCTACAGAAAAGAGAGAGATAAAATGATGAAAAATGTGAAAAAATAAGTATGTGATGAAGACAGAAAACAAGAAAAAAGGAAGTGTAGAAATAGTAGAAAAAATATGGTGAGAATAACACCTTTTAATTTATTTTAAATTACATTTAAAAAATGTAACCAGTCACGTAACAATGGTAAAGTCTGTTTCACCCTTGAAAAATGTGTTTCCATCAATAATCTAAATGGATATAATACAAAATTCACTGCATTTTGGTTGGATTGATATGGGAGAGAAAATAAAATAGAGGAGACTAATTGAAGAGAGAAATAAGGTTCTTCACTTGTTTGATTGGATCCCGATAGTAGGGAGGGAGAAAATAATTTTATGTTCATGGTGAGAAATCTTGTTCATGAGGAGAAAAAGATGAATATGGTCCAAATCAACCTTGTTACACCAAGTTAGTCTATCATGTATGTTTGTGTACAGCACATAACTAAAGATATGATCATTCTGAGTTCAAGTACAGCCGCATTATCAATTTGAGTTAAGATTGATTATTGGTTGTTAATCACCTCTCTAAAAGTTCCATAAATAGAGCATAAACTGCTCTTATGACTATCTTTTATCATTCAATCATCTTTTATGTTTTAGTCTCCGATCTCTATTAACATCTTTCTCCTTCTTTCTTCCTCCTAATCCTTGGTTTGCTCTCCCTTTTTGTTTCCTTCTTTTAATTTTTCGTCTCAACACCCTTATTTTGTCCTTTCATTTTGAGTTTGATTTCTTTTAAATCTTCTTACATCAACTAATTCTTATATATTCCAAATCGATGATTACTCCCTCATGCATCAAACATTAACAAATGGAATTGAGGTCAATCTCATTACTCCGTAGATAACTCATACTCAGAGTGAGGTTCTCACTCCTCCTTTACCTCTATGAACACCAAACACTAGATGCAGATATTTGAGGTCTGGCCGCCTCTAGCTCTCCCTCCTCTTCATATCAAGAAAGCACGTGTTAATATTTATAAGAGGCAACCCTAATCATACTAATTTGAATATAGGGAACACTAAAACCCTAACCCTCGCATAACATATCAATAAAAGCCTTTTTAACCATAATTAATTACTACTATCTTTAAATTTTAAATAATAATCCATATAATTATTTTTTTAAAAATCTTTTTTTTATTAATAACACTCATTATAAAGTAACTGTAATTATTTATTTAAAAATTATTTATTAATTTATTTTGAAAGTTTGGGATGTTATAGTAGTAGTATTTTTCTATTTTAAGGAGTGAATTTTATAATGAGTAGTGATGTAGTTTTCTCCTTTAGTAAAGTTTTTATTGTGCCTATTGTCTTCATTTTTGCTCTTATTTTTCATCTCTTATTTTATTTGTGTGTTATTATTTTGTTACTTTGGTACCCAACAGTGGTATCAGAGTCAATATGTTGTTGGTATTATTAGGTTGCGATGCACACTATAGTATAGTGTTGAAGAAAATTCTTAATATGTTTTGTGGCGGTAGTATTGTCTTATTTCTCACATTAGATAATAGTTATTCTTGTTATTAGATATATAATGTGGTAATGTGAAAGTGCAAATCTAGGAAAAGTTCTGGAAAGGAAATATTTGGTATTTAAATGTGTCCATTAGTGACCCATCTCTCTTTTCAAGGAACTTATATGGTGTGTACTAGTTTACAATCTACTGTCATTATTCTAGTAGGCGATACTATTCACAATAAAAGTTGTGTAAGTCATTTTAATAGAGAAAAAAAAATTAGAGAGAAATCATAGCAGCAAAATACGAGATAGAAGAAATTTAAAGGGAGTAATTTCTGCATATGGAAATTAAAGATAAGAGCAATTTAGAGGAAAAAGAATTGTCTTAGTGCAATTGAAGGCAGACTTGGGAATATCATTAATGAAAGGTGGAAAAAAATTAATGACAAATTTGTTGCTAGTTTGCGTTTAGTAATGACAGATTCAGTTTTGTCTAATTGCAGAGAAAAAGACTATGAAGGAGATTTGAGACACTTTCATCAAGTTGTATGAGTTCAAGTCACTTCACACCAAAATATTCTTAAAGAGAAAACTCTACACTATTCTAATGAGTGAATCCATGTTAGTAACAAACCACATAAACAGTTTGAATACCATATTCGCTCAACTTACAATGTCAAATTTCAACATAGCAGAAAATAAATGTACACAACTTTTACTTCAGAGTTTACTAGATTCGTATAATCAACATAAAAAATAACAATGTTATCATCCGTTTATCCTTTGAGGATATTGCCAAAGTTATTCTTAAAGAATCCAAGCAAAAGAACAAGGAAGACAGGTTGGAAAATTCTAAACAAGAAGAAAAGTTTACAATGATGAAAGGGAGATCAACTAAATGTGACCCCAATGGGAGTAAAAATCATAGTAGATCAAAATATTAGAGAAGGAAGAATCTTAAATGCTACAATTGTAACTTGACAAGGCGCATAAATAAAGATTATTGGAACAAGAAGAGTGAAATGAACTTTGAAGTTTCAACCTTTCAAGGTTGTGTTGCAAGAACCACAGTGATGCGAAAGTTTTGTATAGTGAAGCAATAGTGAGTTCTAAAGGTGGGAAATAACTCCGTGATTGTTGGATGTTGGATTCAGGTGCAACCTAGCACATAACTCCACATTGAGACTGCATTTGCACTTATAAACCTATCTCGAGAGGATCTGTGTTCATAGTAGGAAATGGTTATGCCTTAAAAATTAATGGAGTCGATATTGTCAAATTGAAAATATATGATGGCACTATTCGAACAATTCAAGGGGTACGGAATGTGAAGGCCTTAAAAAAAATTATTGTCTATTAGGTAATTGGATGACCTTAGGTGCAAGATCCACATTAAAGGTGGAATCTTGAAGGTAGTTAAAGGTAATATGGTAGTGATGAAAGTAGAGAAGATCAGAACCAATCTATACATGCTTTTGGGAGATATGTTGCAAGAAGAAGATGCCTCAGTTACAAAAATAAGTCAATAGAAAGCAATGATGATGTGGCATCGTAGACTTGGTCTTATGTTAGAGCGATGCCTAAAAATATTCTTGTGGAACGTAATCTCTTGTTAGGGCTCAAAATAGTAAATTTACCATTTTAAGCACCGTGTGACAAGCAACACAGATTAAAGTTTGTCAAAGTAATTATGAGAAGTAGACAAATACTTGACTTGATTCATTATGATGTATGGGAATCACTGGAAGTATCTTTGGGATGAGCAAAATATTTTGTATCATTCATTGATGATTACACTATAGGAGAATGTGGTGTACCTAATCAAGAAGAAGTCATATGTGTTTCCAATATTCAAGGGATTTAAAGCACAAGTGAAGCTTGAAATTAGGAAGAAAATTATGTGCTTGAGGACAAGCAATGGAGGAGAATATGTAAATGATGACTTTCTGGCTTTTTGTAAGCAAGAGGGTATTTCTAGACAATTCATAATGTCATATATGTCTCAACAGAATGGTGTAACATAGTGGATAACAAAACTCTTTTAGATAGAATAAGAGTTATGTTGAGAATAATAGAAGTTGTCAATCTTTCTTGATAGAAGCAATTAAAATCGCTTATTATGTAATAAACTGTTGGGATTCAAACAAGTCCCACATCGATAAAATAATACAACAAATAACAACTTATATAATACAAACATACTTCAATGATTCAGAGGCCTTTTGGGTGATGACCAAAAGCAAAACCGTGAGGGCTAAGGCCCAAAGCGGACAATATCTCATCATTGTGGAGTATGTTTGTGTAATAACCTTATAAAAATAACTCATAAAATATCCTCTCAGACAAATACCATAAAAATAACCCCATCAGTGGTATCAAAGCCGCAGGTTGGATTCGGTGACAACCAATAACCCTATAACCCCTCATAACTCATAAAATATAATGTGCTATATAAAGACAGATTTCGCTGCATGAAAGGTTAGGTCCCTTGTTTGAGAGGAGGATTGTTGGGATTCAAACAAGTCCCACATCGATAAAATAATACAACAAATAACAACTTATATAATACAAACATACTTCAATGATATTGAGAGGCCTTTTGGGTAATGACCAAAAGTAAAACCGTGAGGGCTAAGACCCGAAGCGGACAATATCTCATCATTGTGGAGTATGTTTGTGTAATAACCTTATAAAAATAACTCATAAAATATCCTCTCAGACTAATACCATAAAAGTAACCCCATCATAAACTGATCACCGCCAACAACAATTGGTTCGAAGACACCAATGGAAATGTGGAAAGGAAAAACCAACTGATTATTCTTCCTTACATGTGTTTAGATGTCATGTGTACATGATTTACAACACCCAAGAAAGAACAAAGCTAGATCCAAAATCCAAAAAATGGATATTCTTGTGTTATGCTGACAGTGTTAAGGGGTATCGCCTGTGGGATCCCATTACTCGCAAGTTTGTTGTTAGCAGGGATGTAGTCTTTTTAATGAACTGCAAAAGGAGAAGAAAAATGACAACACTACCAAAGACACTACTACAATGGTAATAGAGAAGAAGTTTAAAGAATACGACTTTTCTAAAGAAGAACAAGAACTACATGAGGCCAATAATGGAGAAACTCAATAAACAAGATGTGAGATAAGGAGACCATCTTAGCATTCATATGTCATGACAAGCCTCGATGCATATTTTCTTCTAACTAAAGAAGGAGAGCCGTCAAATTTTCAAAAGGCTTTGAGGAGTTCAAAATTTTCTCTATGGATGACAACAATGAAGGAAGAAATTGAGGCCTTACATAGAAACAAGACATGGGAACTTGTTGAACTTCTAGAAGGTCGAAAAGCCATTGGTTGTAAATGGGTTTATAAGATCAAGCAAGATGACAATAATCGACTGGAGCGATATCGTGAAATATTGGTGGTTAAAGAGTATGCTTAGAAAAAGGGCATTGATTTCAACGAGATATTCTCGCTAATTGTTTGATTGACCATAATGAGAATTGTTCTGGCTATGTGTGCTGCATTTGATTTACATCTTGAACAACTTGATGTAAAGATTATTTTTCTTCATGGAGAAATTTAAGATGAAGTATATATGCTCCAACCAAAAGGCTTTAAAAAACAAGAAAAAAAAACTTGGTTTACAAGTTGACCAAATCTTTGTACTGTCTAAAGCAGGTGCCTAAATGTTGGTACAAGAGATTTGATTCCTTCATTATTACTCTTGGATATAATAGGTTGAGTTCACACCATTTTATGTACTACAATAGGTTTGATGACAATGACTTAATTATTTTGTTGTATATGGATGACATGTTGGTGGTAGGCCCCAACAAAGATTAGATTCAAGAATTGAAGACACAATTAGCTAGGGAGTTTGATGTGAAGAACTTGGGACCAACAAACAAGATTTTAGGGATGAAAATTTACGAAGACAAAAAAGATAGGAAGATTTGGCTTTCTTAAAAGAATTATTTATTAAAAGTCTTGTAGTGCTTCAATATGCAAGATTGTAAGCCAATTTCTACCCTACTTCCTCTTAATTGGAAATTATCCTCAAGCATGAGTCCTAGTAATGAAGCGAAGAGGAAATAAATGTCTTGAGTGTCATATACATCAACAATAGGATGCCTTATGTATGTCACGATTTATGTAAGACCAAACTCTGCACATGCAATGGGAGCAATCAATAGGCTTATTGTTAAAAGGATCCTTAGATACATCAAAGGAACCTTAGATGTTGCATTATGTTTTGAAGGATCAAAATTTGTTATCAGGGGCTATGTTGATTCAAATTTTGCGTTATCCATGTTATATACTGTTGTGGCTCTATGAAATACAGAAGTTGAATACATGATAGTTACCAAGGCATGCAAGGAAACAATTTGGATTTAGAATTTGTTATATTTTTGAAAGATCAAAATTTGTTGTCAAGGGCTATGTTGATTCAAATTTTGTAGGTGATCTAGACAAAAGGAACCTTAGATGTTGCATTATATTTTGAAGAATTAGAATTTGTTATTAATGACTATGTTGATTCAGATTTTGCAGGTGATCTAGATAAAATAAAATCTACTATTGGTTATGTGTTTACACTTTCTGGAGGGATAGTAAGTTGGTTATCCAAGTTACATACTATTGTGGCTCTATCAACTACAGAAGCTGAATACATGGAAGTTACCTAAGCATTCAATGAAACAATTTGGATTTAAAGGCTAATGGAGGAATTTGGGACAAACAACAGAAGAGTATTGTGTATTGTGACAATCAAAGTGTCTTACACATTGCAAGAAATCCAGCCTTTCATTTCCAAGACAAAACACCTAGGCATATATACAATACCACTTTGTTCGTGAAGTAGTAAGAGAAGGAAATATGGACATGCAAAAGATTCATACCAAAGACAACCTAGTAAGTGTAGTGACAAAGTCGATCAACAATCTCAAGTTTACATGATGTCGATCCTCATATGGCCTATCAGATAAGCAACATGGAATGACAAGAAAAAAGGAGATGTGTAAGAAGGAGTAGTGTGAAGATATGATTCACTTAATCATAATCTTCAAATGGGAGAATCGTTAGAAAAAAAAGTCTCACATTGGTGAAAACTTCTCACTTAGACCCCATTAAGGCTATAAATAAAGCCTAGTGGTCCCCCTCCGTATCATCCCAAAAAAAATTTCCTTATATCTTTATCTACTTTAAGAACTTTCTTTTGATAATAGCATTCTCCTATTTTAAGGAGTGAATTTTATAGTAATGAGTGGTGTAATTTTCTCATTTAATAAATTTTTTTATTATAATTATCATCTTTTTTATTCTTAATTTCTCATCTCTTATTTTAGTTGTGTTAGTATTTTGTTATTTTGATACTTAGCAGAAACATAAGAACAAATTGTAGACAGAATTGAGATGTACATAAAAAAAATGGTATTTATAGAACTTTTTCTTAGGAAAATATTTTCTAACATATTATTCATTAAATTTATTAAAATTATAAAATCATGATTGAAATATATTAATTTTAAGAGCTATATAATTTTATAATTTATGATTAAAGACAAAAAAAATACGTTTAAAAAATATATTAAACACAATTTTGAAATATGTTCATATTTTTTTATTTAAAAAGAGAAATATAAATATAATTATATTATATATAAACATATGGTGTAATGAAATTTCTCAATAATTAATTTCCTTCTAGAATTTCGGATTGTCCAGAAAGTGCAGAAGATGAAAAATGAGTGAACGAAAAAAATAGATATACTTATAGAAATTGTGACTGAGGAATCTAACTCCAAACCAAGATAGCTGAAAAAAGTCTTCACACAAACCAAGGTAGAGAGAGCTCAATGGCATCATCATTTGTGGGTACTTTATTACCAAACCACTTCACACAAGCCAAACATTCAGCGGTTCCAACAAGGAGGAGAGTGCACTTAGCAACAAGAGCAGAGAGCTTGACTACTGTCATAGAGAAACTGGGCATCAAGATTGAGAGGAACCCTCCTGAGTCCAAACTCACTCAACTCGGTGTTAGACAATGGCCCAAGTAATACTTCTTTTCTTTTTTGTTTACATATAATTATTCCTTTTTTCCATATGATTTCAATTATTCTAATGGTACTTTTATTTTGCGTGTGAGGTTTGGAGTAGGATTTTGTTTCCCCATTTTTTGATGAATGAATCATGCTACGTGCCTAGGTTTTCATGGCCTATTCTTTGTACTCATGCCATGGGATTGAGGTTGACTTTGTTAAGTTGTTTGTTTTATGACCGAAGATATCATAGGAAAGACAGTTATGAGGTTCTTATTTCTTGCCTTAACCATTTAACAAATTAGGGAAACATGAAAGAGTGAATTTATCTTTTTAATTGACTCTAGCTAATATAGAAGTTGCAAGATGCAAGCTTTCATAAGTGTAAATTTTTGTTTTCTCCTTTGAAATGCATCTGATGAATCTCTTTCTGATTCCGTGTGAGACACATTTGATGTATAACAGATGGGGTTGCCCTCCAAGCAAATTTCCATGGACATATGAAGCCAAAGAAACTTGCTATCTTTTGGAGGGAAAAGTGAAGGTGTTTCCAAGTGGGTCAAATGAGTCAGTTGAAATTGCTGCTGGTGACTTGGTTGTGTTTCCTAAAGGGATGAGTTGCACTTGGGATGTATCTGTTGGTGTGGATAAGCACTACAAATTTGAATAAATATTCCTACACCATTGAATGAAGAGACATGACTTTCATGAATGGATGATTTAGTTGAATATAATAAGGATTTTGGACTTTGAATGGTATTTAGCTTTTGTGGCTTATGGTGTTATTCTTAATTAGCTTCGGTTTCTCTTCTGTGCCTTTTGCCTCATTAAACTTAAAATCAGTAGTAATACACAGCTAACAATGGTTTGTCTTGTTTCAAGTATGTTTCCTCCAACCCCATTCATCTAATCATCGATTAGTGAAGTCGAGCCACATTTATTTTAAAAAATATAAATTGAAATTAAGTAAAAAAGGTAGGTAAGTAATAAAAAATAGTAGAGTAAATAATTATTAAAAGAAAATAATAATTATTAAAAAAATTATTAATTTGTTAATAATAAAAAATAATAATTTATTAAGTATTAAAATAAAAAATAAGAAATAACCTATTTATATATTAATATAGATATTAGCAATCAATAGAATAGATAAAGTCTTCTTAAATTATAGTTTTTAGAAGTTAAAACACCTTTTTCCATCTCCATTGAAGCATTATTTTAACATTTAATGGATATTTAAAGGAGGGTGTGTGCATTTTGAGATGTCAAAAATAATATCTCAACTAAATTGTTATTTAGTTTTTTATATTATTTTAATTTAATTTAGTGATTTATCTTTTCAAATATTTAACTTAAGTTTTATATTTATAAAAATTCAAAACAGTCTAATTTATTAAAGTTTTAACAATCCACTTTAAAAAAATTTGAGTTTACATGTTGGAATAATTTTTAACAAGACAAAAATGATAAAATTGATCTTCACTGAAAACAGAACTAAATTAAACTTTTTTTTTTGCACCAAAAATTAAACTTATTTGAAAGCTTAAACTTTATATTTTTAATGGTAGATTCAAAATTGTTCTATAAAAAAAATGGTTAATTCAAAATTTTGGACGTTGATCTCTAAGAACTCAACGAAAGCTTTTGAATCTTTTAGCCTAGCATTTCCTAATAGATGGGTCAAGTACTAACAATGAAGCCAAATTTAAGGGACTAAGTTACTTGATTAGGTTGTGTGGTGTTTTTTTGTTGTTCTCATTCAAAAGCTTCATTATCGGATCAAACTTGTTTTTATTTTTATTTTTTTACGTCTTTTCTTTCCTTGTGATAAAAGTGAGGGATGAGATTGGGTTGATCACCAAGTATTTTTTTGGGTTTGTTACTTGTTTTCTGGATCCTAATAAAACGCAAAAACATTACTTTGTCAAACTATATATATATTTTAATTTAATCTGAATCTGCTTGTTCAGTACACGTACATCTCTAACGGGTAATTCCTTGCAATCAATAGTCCCCACTACAAAATAATTCTTATATTTAAATTAATTAATTATTAGATGAAGAATTTTGAATCCAACTCGTATTAAACACAAATATGTGTTTTCAGAGATTTATCATAATTATTTATTAATTAAATACTAATATTTTAAAATAAATTATTCATAAATAAAAATAATTTTTTATTATAATATAAATTATTTATCATAAATCTAAAATATAATCTATGTTTGAAAATATTTATTTATATAAATTTAAATATAATTTATATATTAAATATAATATTTATTTATATAATTTATTATAAATTTTAATTATATAATAAACATGTTTGTTTGTGTATTACACATGCTAAATACAAGCATGTAATCTCATGTATATTGAAGTGAAACTATATTAAAATTCTAACAAATAAAGATATTAAAAATTATACCAAATTAAGGAAATGTGTGGTTGATGTTTTTTAATCGATGTTGGAATCTAAACAAATAAGTGTCTTCAAAATCAAAACAAACAAACATACTATCACTCCTAATCCTACGTTGAATCATAAATATTCCATCTGATGTTGTATTGTTAAGGTTTCTCCCACAAACTATTTTGTAAACGAGACATCAACAACAGTTGCAGAAGCAGAAAGAAAAGAGGAAGAGATGACAGGCTCAGCAGATGCATTAGTGATATCATTCGGTGAAATGCTCATCGACTTTGTTCCTGACACATCTGGTGTTTCCTTGGCTGAGTCTTATGCTTTTATCAAGGCCCCTGGAGGTGCCCCTGCCAATGTTGCTTGTGCCGTATCCAAACTTGGTGGTAACGCTGCCTTCATTGGCAAGGTTCTTAATTTCTACAAACAACCATTCCCCATCTTGCATTTTGCTTTCCTTGTACAGTTAGTATATATTGATCCTCAATATTTCTGTGTTTGATTTCGGTAATATACATTAATATGCATTTATACGATTTTCCAATCCGAGTTCCTTAACAATAAGCGTTAATATGTATTTACATTTAATGTTACCCAAGTAATATATATTAACACATTATAAAGGTGAAATTTCAATTTTGATTGGAGATCAACACCAACTATACCTTAATGTACTTAAATTTTGTCCTTTCTTTTATCCTTAAAAAAAGTAATGATTATAATAATGTGACAGGTGGGAGATGATGAATTTGGAAGGATGCTAGTTGACATTTTGAAGAAAAATGGGGTCAATACAGATGGTGTTTGCTTTGATGAGGAGGCAAGAACTGCATTGGCTTTTGTGACACTGAGGAAGGATGGAGAGAGGGAGTTCATGTTTTATAGAAATCCTAGTGCAGATATGTTGTTGAAGGAATCTGAATTGAATGTGGGTTTGATCAAGCAGGCCAAGGTATTCCATTATGGATCTATTAGCCTTATAACAGAGCCATGCAGATCAGCTCACTTGGCTGCGATGAAAGCTGCTAGAGAAGGTGGTGCTTTGCTGTCCTATGATCCGAATGTGAGGCTGCCTTTGTGGCCTTCTCATGAGGCTGCTAGGTCTGGGATCAAGAGCATTTGGTATGAAGCTGACTTCATCAAGGTACAACTTAAAATTTATTTCTGGAATCCTAGAACATAATGAAGAGTGTGAAAGAATAAAGCAATTTAGATCTTGAACTTGGATCTATTCTTTTAGAGTAAATTATATAGACAACCTTGAAGGTTCTATGAAATTGCACACGCACCCTACTTTTTCTATCTCTATACTAATCTCTTTAATTGTTTGAAAAACATTAACACTCCTTAGACATTACATTAGTTTCCTTATTTGTTTGAAAAACATTACACTATGATTCTGTAAGAGAGGTTACCTTAAATCTTAAAAAGTAAGGACGTTGTGTGTAATATCATGAAAGCTCAGAGTGTCTGTATAATTTAATCTTTCTTTTATTGAGTTATATTTGTTATTGTTAACAAAATAGCAGAAAAAGAATAATCCCTACTGTCAATTTTTTTCTTCTTCCAGAAAGCATGTTTCTTCTGCAATATGTCCAAGTGCTTGTATTAAATAATTCATCATTGTCTATGTAGGTGAGTGATGACGAAGTTCAATTTCTGACACAAGAAGATCCTGAGAAGGAAGATGTTGTCATGTCCCTGTGGCACGACAAATTGAAAATGCTTCTTGTCACTGATGGAGAGAAGGGTTGCAGATATCTTACCAAGGTACTATCCACCCATGTTTTGAAAATAGTGCATGTCTGGCTAAATTGATTTAATTTAGCATTTTCTGAAGGAAACTGAGACAATAGTTTTGATCATTACTGGTTGGTTAACCTTAGATATAGTTGATGATTTTGACTAGAGGTTTGTTACACCATTGGATATATTCTTTGAGTATAGAACTTCAAAGGAAGGGTAACTGGATTCTCAGTGAAGGCAGTTGACACAACTGGTGCTGGTGATTCTTTTGTTGGTGCACTCCTCACAGCTGTGGCAAGGGACAGTTCCATATTTGATGTATGTCTCTCTCTCTCACACACACACACACAAACACACACATACACAAACTAATTTTCAAGACTAGGTTTTATTATGTTCTCATTGGTCGACACCTTTGTTTTATTGGATCTCATATGAAGGACGAACCAAAATTGAGAGAGGCTTTGACGTTTGCAAATGCTTGTGGAGCAATGTGTACAACACAGAAGGGAGCAATTCCTGCACTTCCAACCGCTGCAGACGCTGAGAAATTTGTTTCCAACTCAAAAGCCCAATAAGCTCTCCTTTCAAATTTGATAGCCCATAGGGACTACCCATTCTCAATTGAGAGTTTCGCTTTATAAGTCTGATTACCAATGACTTAAAAGTTGTTTCCGTTTATGAATAATAACCAACTTATTTTTCCTTCTATGCATATTGAGCGCTTGTAGCATCCTAGAAACAAAAATTATCCAATCTAATTATAACATATTGGTTTAACACAGATTAATCTATATCATCAAATAAACTTGTTAACTCTTAAAGAGTGCCATGCAAATTTCTGAAAGAAATAATGTATGTCGTACAACATTGTCGAGCTACTAGTATTTAAGATAATTGTCATATTTGAATTACCCATGAAGACAATTGATCTGTTTGTTGGGTATTCCGAACTTCAATCCTGTCCTTATCAAATCTCGCCTATATAGGTGGCTGAGCTTTTCATAACCCATTTAGACGTGCCACAAACCATTTGGTCCTTGGATAGGATTTTCATATTTGTATTCGGAAACAACTTTCATGTGAAACATTAGAAAATTTCAACCTTCGCCCACATAAAGAGGGGGAGGGGTGCAACATAATCAGTCCGAGTTTTCAGTGATCCTTTGAGAAATGCTAGCACGTTTTGTAACACTCTTATATTAGGTGAAAATTTATAATAATCCTACTAAATAAATGAATTCCATTCTCCATTAATTAATTTTGTTTCCAGACTAGTGAAAAGTCAAAACCACAAGAATTTTAACTAATACTAAAGAGTAAGCTAGAAATAGATGGATTTTGTTAACATTCCTCCCCTTAATATTACCAGGGCAGCAGAAAAGAAAATCGCCATAATATTGCTAACATTCCTCTTATATTTTGGATGACGTGCTGCCTAAATTAGCAATGCTACATCCTTCATTTTTCTATATCCTTCCTATCCAATTAACTTAAAACAGAAGCTACACTGTTATACAAGGAATAATTACAGCAAATTATGAATGTGATTTTTACAGATGACATTGACAATGATAAATTATACACCTTGATTGTGGTAAATATAATATTACATGCTCATGGCTCTTGATGAAATCTCCGATTCCCCCTCTTGTAAGTCTGGTTCAGCTACGTCACCGTTAACCTGCAATACATGAAGCAAAATATCACCTTATCACATTCTCATAGCTCATCACTGCTGCAAATAAATGAAAACGTCTGTATGAAATACTTTATTATTAACAGGGAGTTCACAAGGTAACTTGGACAGGATGCCAGCACAAAAAGATAAATCTAAAGCTTTAACATGCATGCATTCAGATGCAATATCATACCTCCGAACCCTCCATCTTGGCTAGGCACAGCTCCAAAGCACCACTTCCACAGAGAATTTTTCCTCCACACCCAGGGGCATTTACTGATCCTACTGACTCCTCGTCAACAACAACTGCATCAATCAGTTCATTTCCCACTTTAACATCTGGAATCTGGTGCATACAAGCATTCAATGAATTAGGTGAAGATCAAAGGGATCAATGATAGTCATAAAAAAACTTTTTCATACCTCAAACATGGCTTCAGTTAAAATGCTTTCCAGTAGGGCTCTTAAACCCCTGGCACCAGTATTTTTTGCCATTGCCTTTTTTGCTATCAATCTCAGAGCTTTCTCTGTGAAGTGTAGCTTTACCTGAAGTTCAGGAGTAAAGTTTCAGACAAATTTACCTTTCTTAAAGCCACACTCCCCATCACTCTTGCAGGCATAACAAGTATATTAAACACTCGTACAAATCAAAATTGGTGGAAGGGTAGACAAGAAAGAGAGTACAGTTTGAATGATTCTGAAATAAGCTGATCAGGTTTGACCTAGCTTTCACCAACACCAAATGGTACCGAAGACCATAAAAAACTAGTTCACTCGGGGAGGGGAGGTTCAAGTAGACTTCTAAAGAGTAATTAATTATATAATTTGAAAGAAAAGATATATTATGACTTATGAGTAAATATTAGATTAGGTCTACCATAGGCAACTAGTCAATCAATCCCTTCTTCAATCCAGATATAATGATAACTGCTATGCTGAAGTTTTCACACCACATACACTCAAACATAGAAACTCCCATAAACGATATGTATTTATAGAGAATAAGGAAGAATTACTCACATTATTCATGTTAAATAATTTCTTGTACTGCTTGGCCAGAGCATTTTTTGGTTCTGTGAGGACCTGTAAAACCAACATTTCAATAGTCATATCATATGACCAGATATCCATGCAAAATCTAGAAATTTCTCTAAATTCTAAAATAGGTTGTCCATATTCATTTAAAATTAAATAGGAAACAAGACAAAAGTCAGCCCTCTCAAAAAAAAAAAAAGACAAAAGTCAGAATTTTAGACTAAGATACACCTATGTAAGCAGCATATTCATAAAAACATCAGATTTCTCAATGCCAGTCACACTTCTTTTTTATTCAATTAAAAAGAATATATGGATGTCGAATTAGACGTCCACCAGAAAGAATCTCATGCTTCTTTTGTACATATTGTTGAAAAATCTGAGAAATATTTGATAACATTATTTTATATCTTAGACTATTTTAGAGTACCCTAGATGATATGTTTGAATTTATTTTTTATTTTCAATTTTATGACTTGTTTCCTTATTTAATTAGGACCTTTGTAATTATAGGTCTATCATATCATGTAATTAGAAATATTATCTCCTATTTTATTTGTATTTATTGCATTAAGTCTATATAATAAAAAATAAAAAATAAAAAAATCTGTTGTGTAGTCAAGACATGGTTTCAGCATCTGTTGCATTTGTTTTTCTCTATTCCAACACATATGAAGAGATCTTCAAGAATCAATACCCTCAAGGTACAAATCCATTATGAACTTTCCGTATCCCCATCCTAATTTCTTGTTCCTTTTGCATCTCGTAAACTAAATAAGAACCAAGCACTGGCACAAGTCAGATGGCCATATTGTCATTCATTACATTATTTATTGAATCCAAAAGGCAATAGCCATATTAACATCTAGATTTTACGAAAATATATTATTTTTAAAAAAATCCCTTATAAAATTGGAGATATTCATAGATAATGCCTTTAGAAAACTAAAATGACCTGGTATGTATGTGTGTGTCAACAATGAGTGAGAAAACAGAACGATAATCATAACAGAAGAAGCAGAATTAGGCCTTGGTGCACTAAACTACTAGAGAAGCAGGAAAAGCTACATAATCAAAGATATGAATAATGAGTATAATACCTGCATAAGTTGGTCTTCAGTTAGAGCTGACAAGCTAATTAAGATCGGAAATCGTCCTATAAACTCTGGTATGAGACCATATGCAATAAGATCAGAACTTTCCACCTGAAAATAAATAATGCTACTTTTAGATGCATTTGGAAGGTTATTGGCTAAAATAATTTTATTCTTTAACTTCTGTGTTCTTCTCTACTGCTGTAGAAGCAGAAGTGGCCAATTGCACAACATAATAGCTTAAGTGTATGATTTATTAGCTTTAATTGCTCAAAGTATCTACCAATCTAGTTCACCAGAAGAGAAACAAAAAATTTCATACAGACAATCATAGTCAATTCTCACCGATTCAAGTAAAGATGATGTGACTGTAGCATTTGTAACTCCGCCAGTTCTCATATTGGCACGGACTGGTGCTCCAAAACCAATTGAAGAATCTTGTCGTCTAGTTTATTTCACAAATAATCAAAATTTGATGAAAAGTCTAGCATAATCTAAGACATGCAGAACATCAGCCAACGAATATTCTTGCAAGACAAAAAAATACCTCTCTGAAATGGTTTTTTCAAGATCAACAAATGCTCCCCCACATATAAAAAGAATGTTCTTTGTGTCAATCTGCATATCATAAAAAAATGAGTGGACAGTTATGCAAAAAAAAAAAAAAAAAAAGACAATGATTCTAGAATCACATGAATACTGTACTGGGTGAATAGGTGATCATTGAAGCTAACTGAAAGTCTGACATTCACAAAATTTTGACAAATACTTGCTAAGGGAATGAAAGAGTTCCTAAAGAAAGAATCCATCCCACATTTTCATGTTCCTAATTATCCTCAAATCACCTATAGCCTCTGATGTGTCTATGCATTGGTTCTCTTCAGTTAACTAGGTGGTTGTTTGGTCTTTAAAAATCATAAATTATTCAAATAAATAAATGCATAATTCTGAAGTGTTTCAATTCAAGATACAAAGACAGCCCACAAAAACATACCAGACAAGAAAATTTTCATATCATATCATAACCAAGTACAAACTATAAAACAAATGACAGATGTTACACTTTCCAAAACATACCTGTATGTTATCACCTCGTGGATGCTTCCTTGCTCCTTTCTCGGGAACATTTATTATCTAGACCATAAGAAATCATCCCAAGTTCAGGATACTATTAGAATGGCACTAAACATCCTACAGCATATTATTTTTTCTGAAACATTTAATACAATATTACAATTACAAGCTATTGATTGATTTGTAAAAAAATGACAAAGTTGCTAGAAACAGACAGGTGATGCTACAATAATTTTATCCACTGATATAAACTGGATCACAAACTAGAAAAAAGACAAATAGATTTGCAAAGTTGAATTTTATTGAATATTAAGGGTATTTTAGAGGCCATGTTCTCTCCCCACTCTGAGAGTATAATCCTTTTTAAACAGAAAAATAGATCTCTCAATCAACCTCTCCTCTTATTTATAGACAACATGTCTTGCTCATTATTTCAGCCGTATAACCTAATTAATTAGCCAATGTAACTAAGTAACTAATGACTATGAGTACCTATCAGTACTCAGCCCCAAAAGTTTCACCTTGCCCTCAAGGTGAAGGACTAGAAAAAGGCACGAACATATCAAGGAGTGCCAAATGACTCCCACCGGGGGTCCCATTGCCTAAAACTTAATAATATAAGTCCCAAGTCACTAAAATCTCTTTTGCACCACTAACAACAGCACGGTCAACACATTTGATCTACTCTCCTAACTGGGACATCCACAGGCTTTCTTCACACTTGTGCAGACCACTTAAGGTGAGATTCTACCATTTTTTTTATACAATAGGCACTACCCATTCATAATCTTATCTTGCCTATCTTGTGCACTCATTTAATGCAACATTCTCATCTCTCGGTTGACATTTTATGTCCAACATTCAGTGTCGTGCAATGTTGCATGTCTTATATCTTTGCAATACAACTTTCCCTTAATAACAAAAGCCAGCATCCTCCAAATTAATAGTCTCTTTAAACATTTTTTCCTTTGAATCTCAAAACTCAGATCCCACCAAGCAAAAGAATATACTTTTTTTGTTAATATATTTGACAGTACCATTAATACATCAATTATATGTTAAATAACCTTGCATAAATGAGGGAATAAAAGATCAAAATGGAATGACTGAGAACCTGTGCAAAAAAATTACTTATCATGTTGAACAATTTACTTTTAGAACACACAAGATATTTACCTTCTTATGGTCATTATTTAAGGGATATTAAACACGAGGTAAGTAGAGTACTCAATGAGTTCACTTAGCACTTCCTTTACAAAGAAGTAAACCAATTATCAACAACTGTATTCTGGAATTATTTTACTTACAGTTCCTTCAAGCATTTTTAATAGTGCCTGCTGAACACCTTCACCAGAAACATCCCGGCTAATATTCAAGCTCTCAGCCTATAATATATAACAGTTAAAAAATTACAAGCCATATTGGACTCACATTTATAAACTTAGCTAACTAAATTAGCAAAGAACCTTCTTAGTTATCTTGTCCACTTCATCAATGTAAACAATCCCTTGTTGAGCAGCATGAACATTGAACTCTGCTGCCTATTTGGGAAAAATAAAATTGTAACAAAGAGATGGAAAGTAGACTAAAAAAACATAAGATATGTTCTGAAAAGTCTAAAAACAAACTTGACAAAGAAAAATATAAAATTATATGCAAGTAGAGTTTAATAACAAAAGTATTCCAACCATCAGAGATTGAAAAGAAAGCAAATGTAATATAAACATAGCAGTAATTTATGACAAAAAAATATTTATACTACATGCATTTGTATAGCAACACATCTTGAAAAAGACCATGGACAATCCTTTTCCACAGTTGATAAGGAGATTAAGTTAAACTCTCACTAGCTTCCTAACATGTACATGCAAATTATCTGCTAGAAACAAGAAAAAGCACCAAATATAGGGATCATTACATAGATCAGCCCAGAAACAAATATAGGAAGCATGGTAAAGTTAATCAAAATAATGGGGAGAAAATGTGATATATGCTTGTAATTGTAAATGTATGAAATTTAGGAGGGTGGCTGGACATTTTTAAACAAGAAGAAAAATCTTGTTCATTTCAATTTTTACAAAAAAATTATACTTATACAGAATAACTCACATACCGCAAGTAGTTTATACAATATTGATTCGACATCTTCTCCAACATAACCAGCCTGCAAATTAGAACATTTACCCATCTAGATCAATACCACCAAAACAGAACTTTTGTCCAAGGACAATGAAACCTTGAGTGAACCATGGAACCAAATAAAAAATAGCTAACACAATCTGAACATACCGACATAGAAGAAAATTTAATATTCCAATTAGCATAACATCTTATCACTTAACAACTTGAAAATTCAAATACAAGGCACACAAATTTAGATAGATTATTGTCATTTAAGTTGATCCTGCTCAACTCTAAGACGACCCCATCAATGTATTCATACTTGCCTGTGTTAGTGTAGTTGCATCGGCAATGACAAACGGAACATTGACAAAACGAGCTAGTGTTTTGGCAAGTAATGTCTTCCCTATTTGATGGAAATTAGATCAGCACAGCAGCCATACTCATACAGCAATTTTAGAAAGTGGTAAGAAGAAAAGGGAAAAACAATGTGGAAACAATTAATAAGCAAAAGTCTGTATATATACCTGAACCCGTTGGACCCATCAAGAGAACGTTACTCTTTTCTAGCTCCACATTATCCTCGTCATCCAATGCATCTGCCCCTGACCTAGTATTAAAACCAACACTTGAGCAACAAAAAAGAATATTAAAGTGCAACATGATAGGGATAGCAAAAGAAAAGAACAAACCCGTTGTGCAAAGAGGCGTGGTATATTCTTTTGTAGTGGTTATAAACAGCAACTGAGAGCACCTTCTTTGCCCTCTCTTGCCCAATAACAAACTTGTTGAGACCCTCGCAGATTTCCTTTGGAGTTGGAAAATCCTTACCCAAATTGGACCCCCCGACCCAACCCGTGTTGTCGTCGTCCCTGGGCCCAGAGGCCCGAATGAAATTGACTGTGGGAGGAGTGTGCGTAGGCGGCCAATCCTCTGGAGGCTCCCCACTGCTACTACTGTAGAGTCTCAAAGTGGGCCGGAGAAGCCCTCTATTGGCGCCACCGCCACCGTGAGCGTTGGAGAAGTGGGTGTGTGAAGAACAAGAAAAAAGAGTTGGTGTTAATAAGTTGAGTTGCAGCTTCTTCTTGTTCCATGCGGAGAAGAGTATTCGAGACATAGAGAGAGAAGAAAGCTACTAGTTATGGAATTAAGATTAACTCAGAATGCCTGCCTTGGGTTAGGAACCAGAAACAAGGATAAGGAAAACGGCTTCGGGACCCGTTCCTGTTAATTTCATTTATTTACGCTTTTCACACGGAACGATAAGGAGACAAAAACAATCTTAATTTTAAGTTTCCTCCTTAATATTTCAAAATGTTTCATTTCATTTATCTTATTAATTTAGATTGATTTTTTTCTTTTTTTATAATTTTTGGGATTATGAATTCTAGGTTCTTCACTGATGGGTAATTTCGTAATCATCTTTTGGTTTTGATGTGAATGGTGATTGATTACAGAAACTAGAAAAGTAGAAATCACTTCATTTTTAGTTTTGTTTCTTTACATGTTCATTCCATTTCCACGTGCCAAGACATAAGAATAAATGCAAGTACTAATGTATGTTTGTATCCCTCCTGCCGCTTTTGCTTCAAGTACGTTAGATAATTCGTGTATATATAATAAGTAAAAGAGTAATTCTACCTTCCAAGTAAATTTTTTAAGCACTTTAGATAATTCGTTTATATAAGTGAAAGAGTAATTTTACCTTACAGGTAAATTTTGAAAATTTTATTTAAACTATGATATAAAAAATTATTTTAATAATCGTTGTTAAACTTATTGAATCAATGACTGTTATCTTGCGAACTTCAAATCATAAATGAATTTTAGACTTTCTCAAAAGAAAGTATGCAAAGAAAATAAAACTGCGAGAGATCGTATACAATAAGAAAACTCCTCATAGATTAGGATACTTAGGAAAGCTTGTACATTACTGGACACACTCATCATCAGCAAAGATTAACAAGTGAGTAACCCACTCCACCAAAGGTCTTGGTGGAACCCTTTTATTCACAATTCAAACAGAGTATTACAAAGCGTTTTCCCTTTCTACCAGTGATCATCATGAAGTGATACTCAGAGGAACCAACATGATCATGCACCAGCACCAACTAATTCAAAGCTCCTGCTTGGCAGTGGCCCCATCACTGTTGAGCCTGGCTTGTTGGTGATCCTCCCCAGCAATGCTCACCACCCTGGGACCCTTGATCTTATCAGGTGACAACTTATCAAGTGTCAAACTAAGCACCCCATTCTCCAGCCTAGCCTTGACACTATCCAAGTCCACATTTTGTGGCAACCTGAACTGCCTCCAGAACTTGCCACAGGACCTCTCCACTCTGTGCCAGTGATCCCCCTTCTTCTCCTCCTCCCTCTTCCTTTCACCACTCACCCTCAGCACCCTATTCTCTTCCACCTCTATCTTTATCTCTTCTCTCTTCAACCCCGGCACATCAATCATTATAACATGCCCCTCTGGGGTCTCCTTCCAGTCCACTCTAGCAGGTGACATGGCCGTGGATGCTTCATCTTTCTCAATCCCAAATGGAATTTGTTCCAGCACGCGAAATGGGTCAGGGAAGCGATCAGACCACAGATCGGTCAAGAGAGTGCTGGGAGGATCTATGAATGGGAGCAGAGACCCATTTGCTTTGGCAACAAAGAGCAACAAAAAGAACAAGTTGAGGTGTTGTAGCCTCATTGATATTACTAAGGGAACAAGTAGTGGTAGACAATGATGGATAATGGTGGCAACTTGGTTGGAGTATGGTACTGAAATGTTATGCCTTCGAGCACGCTGTGACATAAGTACATATATACAGCATGCAGAGCGAAAAGAGAGAGTGTCAGTGTAGAGAAATGAAGAAAGTTCTACCTTAATTTGGAATACGTGAAGGAGGTGCAAGAGTTTTCCAACATGTTCCAGAGGCTTCATGTGTTGTTTTGTTAACATAATGGTACAGTAATACATTCATCGGACTATAGCTATTTTAGAAATTTTTGGGCACTTTCACACATGTCTTCTCTTTTTGTATTCGGTGTTTGTCTTATTTATTTATTTAATTTTAAAGATGGGACAATGGGAACACAGCATGGCAGGTTTCACTAAAGATGAAAAATTGGTATCTAATCTTCCTTTCACCCTGCCATTTTATTTTTAACCTCGTATTCTCCTTTTCTTTAAATAAAAAATACGCCAAGCACATTTTAGATTAATTAAATCGTAAAAGGTCTAGCTCAATGATTAAATAGAACGATTGAGCGAGTAACTATTGTAAACTTCTTTAAGTATTGAGAATACATAATAGTTATAGTGTCAAGAGCATTAAAAGTAAAAAAATTAAGATCTAAAATATCATACTGATGGAAAGATGCTTAATTTTATTATTAATTATATTATTATTATAGTTTAATCGTTTCAAGGCAGGTCGTGTTTGTGGCAAGTATTTATATCCTCAAATTAATCCCGTTCTTATTATTTATAAATCCAAAATATCTGATATACAAATAAAATTATGAACATAATCTACACAGATGTATTGTATTTGTATGTGGCAGTTATAGATGATGGAGTCACCGATTAAACAATGAAGGTTTCAACAATTGTTGCATGCAGCTTGTGAGTACTTTACAGTTCACACTTTATTGTGAACTTAAAAAAGACTGGCCAACCAGGGAAGCAATTTTTCATGTACCAAGTCAGGTCTATCATCATGGGGACAATGTCCAACCCCTTCAAGCAAGAAGAGTTTAACATTTTCTTGTTGAGAAGGCAATGAAGAAAAGTACTTGCCAACAGGTCCATCAATTGGAGTGAAAGGATCTTCATCTCCCCATAAAAGCAAAACAGGCATGGAAATTTTAGGCATCAACAACACCGGATTCGGCCCCGGTGGCCCCGTTACAATGGACACAAATGCATCTAAGGCCCCTGGACTATTAGCTGGTTCCCTTATGATCTACATTTTCAGAATCAAATGTGAATTCCATGTAAATGTTGTCTAAGAAATGGTGATTAAGAGTGTGTTTAAATACAAGCTCAAAAAAGTTTCTCTACTAAAAAATGAAAAATAAAAATAAAAAAATAAACTCTTTTTTTTCAGCAGAGAAGCTCTTAAAATTTCTTTTGAGATTGTATCTAAATAGGCTCTAAAAACAAAACAAGTAAACAACAAAGTGTTACCTCCACCAATTCTTCATCCACAGACTCCTTGTTTCCATACACTGAACTCAAAACGTCTCTCAAATTCTCTCTGCATGCAAGCAATTCAATATTAGGTTGACTCTTTAAACATTTGAGGGAAATTATGGCCTAACCTGAAGAGAATACCTTTGTTTAACCCTCTCAAAAATTGCTGAGGCAATTCCCTTTTGCTTCAGTAAAAAATCAATCAGCCAAAGCAAGGGTAGTAGTAACTTGATCCTCCAGTCATCTACAATTGCTTTGTTGTTCATGCCACCAGCACAATTTAACAGCACAATGCCTCTAACAAGAGTTTGACTTGAATCTGGTTGGAGACTATAATTCAAAGATAAGGTAAAAAAGAAGTTTCTAAAGCAAACTCTATATGTTTAACTGTTAAACAGAAATTCAGGTTACATCTCCTGCCACTAGGGGACGAATCAAACATACCTGAGGCAGCAATCAGACAAGCTAGACTTCCAACTGAGTTTCCTATTAGTACAGTTGGCTTTTGAATAACTTCATTCAAGAAATCCAAGATCAACTGTTTACAGTGAATACCGGGTACAAGGTAAATTTGTGATGCTGGAGAGTTGATCTCAATTAAAACCCAACAAATAAATACCTGAGCCCATGTTTCCATGGTATATTGAAAGCCTGGAGGCTTATCTGAAGCACCAAAACCAAGAAGATCAATAGCATAAACAGTATAATTCTGGGCCAGTGTCTTGATATTCCTGAAGAATAAAAAAAAAACTAACGATGACTACATTGTTGGAGAGTAAGTAAAAATAATAATAATAATAATAATAATAATAATAATTATTATTATTATTATTATTATAATTAGAAAAAAAACTACAAATGTAACCAAAATGCTTGATTAGAATCTCACATTAACCGAGTAAGAAAATTCATTTAGTTGGAATTGAATTTGCTTGAGGGTCAACAAGTCAACACCAAAGTTCAATATATGGTCAGATAGATCACTACCAAGTACAAGCATTTCATCAGCATTTTTACCATGAATCTAATTTAACTGAGATAGGGGAGATACTCAGATTCCATCTGAATTCTAATGAATATTGATAGGATTTAAGGTTTGGAATCTAAATATCCTTACTTATATCCTGTTAAGAATTTCTGAAAGCAATTTACATCCAATGCAAGCTTAATGAGAGCTTATAATTAACGTGGTCACACTAATGTTTCTTCTTTTCTTTGTCAACCCTATCTGCCTGCAGATACTTGAAGTTGGTGAATTCCAATGGAATTGAAAAATGGGAAAAGGGAGGAACGTGAACACAAGGAGGGGATTCTGCATCTTTGATGGAAAAAGGGTGATTCACAATTCCAATAAAAAAAAACTTAAAATTAAGGCACTGTATGCATTTCCTAATAAACTTCATTGTAAAATTGAACAAATTTTAATTTGGGTCAGAAATTGAAGTTATGGATATAATTCAAGGGTGGAAAGGGTGATATTATCATCTTCTTGGTGAAACAATCCATTGCCTACCTACTTACTATGCACAAATTACTTTTTATTATCAACCCTTTTTTATGTGGCTACCAGCTTACCATATAAAAGTGATAAATAAGCAAGGACAAATAGTATCTAAAAAGGAAAAAATGGGTGGATGAGAAAACAGCAAAATCAGAAGTGATAAAACATGGACATATGACTAGTTATGATGCTAAATTACCTGCGCCAGTGAGGAATGGAGGCACCGAAGCCATGAACAAGTAACAGAGGAGGTTGATTGTCAAGCAACTTCTGAGGAGAATCAGAAGAAACAAAGTAGTTGATGGAATACTGACCCTTCCACTGCCATTTGAGGCACCTTTGCTTTATCTTTTCCGCCTCAGAGAGGGATCCCTCAGCAGCAGAGGTTGCTGTGGAAGTAGCAGAAGTGGAGTTGAATATGACACTTGTTCTATCACTACAACCACTTTTGGCATTGCTCAAGTAGTTTGGATATTGGTGACATGGAAGAGGAAGATTCACTTTCCTTGGTCTTGTGGAGAGGAAGAAAGGTTTACCGTTAAGCCTTTGAATGTGTGTTGGTGAATGCAGAAATCCAACTGAGTGAACAACACTTGTCACTTCCATCACTTTGCTTTGTCTGTCTAGTCTTTGGTCTTCACTCTCTAGTTTGGGTGTTTTTTTAATGGGAAATTTGAGTCTGCTTCAGTAAACTGGCCCAAGTTATACTTATACCATTAATGGGCTGACTCAATAAGGGAGAATTTATGCATAAATTTGAATTCAAAATTATTATATTTTTTCTAGTTAAAATTTAAGATAAAATTATTTTTAATTCTTTAAATTTATAATTTATCTTTTTACAATTTAAAAAAAAATATTTTAATCTTTATACTTAAATTTTGTTAAAAAAATATATCAAATATTATCCCATAACTGTTACTTTCAAATATATTATTAGTGATATGATGAATTAAAATAATACATTTAAAAATTACAAAGATGAAAAATAATTATTTTAAATTTGAGAGACTAAAAATAAATTAACCTTAAATTTAAGAAATTAAAAACATTTAAATTAAATTATCTATATTAATAAATAAAGGAAATACTAACCTATTTGGTCTTCACATTTACTTTCCTATTTTTTCCTTAAAACATATTATTAATCTTCAATAAAATTAGTTTATATTTCCTTACTCTACATATCCTTTTACCCTTTAACTCCTCTAAAATAACTACCCACTTCAATTAGTAACTACCCATTCCTCTAAAATAACTTTTTTTTCTTATATTTTTTTCTCAATCTACCAACTACTATGGATGAATTTCTTCCAAAGCATCACACCACAACAACATGTAAATTAAGTAATTTTCTGTTTATACATATAAAGGTACCAAGTACATACATCGGCTTCACTAATTAGAATAAGTTTAAAGTGATTTAAATTTTAAAAACATATTAAATTAAGTCAAAAGAATTTACAAAACTTATAAGATATACTTATAAATTTAAATATATCTCCTACAAGTTTAACAAATATTTATCAAGGTTGAATGTCTCAACTACTTTCACAAGATCAAATAAATAAATAAATAATCCTTGTATATTAATTGTTTTTCTCTAATATAGAGGGATTTGCCATAGGTGTAGATTAAATAATTGAACTCACCTGACCACTTCTAGAAACTGTACTGAATTAAAAAAAATGGTTCACTTGAATTGGCAATTAGTTCATGTGAATTGCACTACGTATCAAAAGTTTGAATTGAACTAAATTATTTTAATGTTTTAAACTAAATTGTTTAAATACTTTGATTTGAACTATTTTTGCTCATTGGTTCGCCTAGACAAGACAAATCGACTCAATTTGTTTTATTTTTTAGTTTTATTTAAATTTAACAAAGGAAAATAATAAAAAAATACTAGACCAAATAGATCTAATATACTTTGAGTCGAGAAATTAGTGACCCAATCTAGTTCAATTAGCCCATTGGGCCCAACCAGATTGGTTAGTCCATCAAGTTGAGTCATTTTTTACACCTTTAACTTTCATTTTGTTATAAAAATAGTTAGTTTTTATAATCCAATTCAATTTTTAAATAGTTCAATTTAATTCAACTTTATAAGAATGGTTCATTTTAGTTTTTCAGGAGAACTATTCAATTTTTATAGTTTATATTTTGGAACAATTCACCATTAATTTAATTCAATTCAACTTAGTTTAATTTTTTCATTCATAGGCTTCAATTGGATGAATACTTTAGTTACTTCAATATTAAGTGATGTGACATCCTTTATCTCTCATGCACACATTCAATAATATAAAATAATGTGTCTGAAAAATACTTCATTAATTAACCAAAACTACAGGCCAAAGGTACCACATTCGAAACTATAAAACTAACAAAACTAAAAACTAAATAAGGAATTACAAATAATAACAAATAAAGCAAAAACATTTTATAAGAAAAGAAACTAAAATTATTAATGCAATATAATAGAAAAACAATCTTTGACCAAAACTCTGGTGTCACATTCTATTAGAGCAATTTCATCAACAATTCAAATTCCTCCAAGTTTAAAGTCACATGCATAACAAATAAAAAAATATATATAGGAAAAGGGGAGTGAAAAGATATCTCACTTCCACTATCGGTGTAGAAAATGACCGATAACTATACATGTACAAAATATATAACATGACCATACATATAATCAACAACAATAATATATCCATAATAATGTAGTAGTAAAACAACAATCATTCACTCACTTTCTATCATACCACATGCCATCATATATAAACAACGCAGTTTAATATACAAGGCTATACTATGTTTATGCAAGGACAAGACTCTCCTAATTATATGCATGTGACGCTATAGTAAAACACATTTATCCTTATTTGAAGGCTGACCAGCCAAAGACTTCATGCCAGATCAAGTTATCACAACACTTTACACTAGGAAAAAATACACTAATGACACGTTAGGATAGTTATGTTGACCACGTTTCACCCCATGCACACAAAGTGGTGGGATCGGGGCTCACAAACCTAACTATCCCCAAGGTCATGGAATCTCCAAGCTTTTACACAAGGGAAACCTTTTCTAATAGCATATTTCACATTGTGCCCATCATATAAAAATACTTTATGCAAATGATGTATGACATATACACTCTCATGCACGGTCACAATTTCACATTCACATTATTTCATATTTCACAAGTCACATCCTTGTTAAGTTACACTTATACTTATCACATAATTACTTCTCATATTCCACAGATCAAGTATTCACATCAGTTACTTAATTTCCACTTATTTCACATTACACAGATAACTCACTAACTCATTCAACTAATTCATGTAATTCATTAATCGATGCTAATTTAATTAAATTCACAGTTCTACAAATATCAGTCGTAGGTAGAGGAAAACGTCTAGCATAGGGTGCCCTACACCTAGTGTGATCGAGGCCACGAGGCTTTAGAAAAATTATGTTTGATGTGACTGTTTCCATGCTCGACAAAATCACGAAAGAGAGCCCTTAGAACTCCCATGCTCTACTTGACCAAGCTCACGTCCGACGTCAATGATGTCACAAGCATTTCAGACTAAGCTCACGTCCGACGTCAATGATGTCACAAGCATTTCAAGTTTCTATGCTCAATGAGCCCATGATGGCACCTAATGTGATATCAGTAATTTTTGTTCTACAAAATTTGTGATTCACTCACAAAGCAAATCTCACCACTTACATGAATTCATGTTAAAAAGGAGGGTTTTATGTTCTAATTAATTTGTTCTTAATATAAGTAATTACTACATGCAATACTTTCTCCAATAATTGATTACACACATCCTTAGAATTTTCTTGAGAATCCAAAGACACACATAGATTCATAAGTAGAGACAAATTCATAGATATAAAGCACATTTATAATATAATAACATGTTTAGAAATTCAAAGAGACATCATATACACATTACAATCAAAAGCAAGATTTGGGTTTAATCCCTCACACGTACATACATACACAATCTACAGGATTAAGGGACATTCCCATTATCCAACAAATAATCCACACCTTGGAGTGAGATTCTCACTCCTCCCTTATCTTGATAGACACTAGCTAAAATCTTAGTTCGGATCTCTGAACTCTTCTCCAACTACCTCTAATTTTCTCCCCTCTTTACATCACAAGACGCACAAATTAATTTGTGAAATAAAACAACCCTAGCCTTACTAACTTATTTATAAAGAAATGTTAAAAATAAAACAATAAACAATAATTATTAATATTTTGAAATATCACTTAAAATATAATATTATCTCAATTAATATATTAAAAGTAAGATGCTTCATGTGACGGTGGAGTTTCATGATGGTTCAATGACCACTTACAAGTTACAAGCACTTCACCAATGGTATCAATTAAGTGCTTCATAATAACATAGACTAAAGGAAGAAAATGTAACGATGGGGACCTGATTGTATTTTAGAGGATGGAAGTGGAGAATTTCCAAGATTGAGTGATACACGTAATATGAAATTAGGTTTACTTCTTACCATATTTGTCACTACTAAACCAATCAACTAGAAACCCTCGTATTTTATCTTTTGACTATAACACTAATTTCTTTCCCAAATCTATCTATACATAGACTCTCTGTCAAACCTGCCTCTTTAATAAATATAAATATAGGTTTACGTGGTCCAGATCCCACCTACCAAAAGAACTTATCTAATAAAATACTGGAAGTCTGGAACAAATAATTATTTTGCAGCCGGGCCTAAAGATACTAACAACAAATATATGTTTTTTAATAACAACAAATAGTTAAAATAATGCAACAAAAAAAAAACAGATATTTGACTGAATAATATTAAAATCTAACTTTTATACCGATATATATATATTTAGTGTACATGTTTATCTTTTAACTTTAAACTGCACCTATCTCACTATTTTTTTTATTTATTCTCCATAAACTTACATTTCAACCTCACTTTCTTCATGTAATCACGCTCAAGCCATTATTTTTATCTTCTTATTTTCATTTAAAAACATGTAGAGACTGGGAATGCTTATTTCTTTCTACTAATATATACAACAAGAATAGATTCGTTTATATCTATATTAATAAAGATAACACCGTTAAATATCTTTTTATTATCTTTATTTTATTATAATTAATAGAGTCGAGACATTTTTATATCTTTATATTTTATTTAATAAAAATATTTAAAAATTTATTAATATTTATTAAATTAATTAATATTATATCTGATCTTTAAATTTTAAAGACTCAATTAAAATTTTATATTTATATAAATAATTAATTTTTAATATTAATTTTTATTTTTAAAAATAAAATTAGCTAAAAAGTATATACACTAAATAAACCGTCGTTTTTATATGTATTATTGATAATTGTGCCCAAAATTATTTGAATCTCTATATAATTAACTACTCAGTGTTTTTAAACATAGTATACAAAGACATAGTATACAAAGACATGGAGTACTTCTTACAGTAGTAAATATAACAATTATATGCATTTCTTTTACACAATTTTCAATGTCATTTTCCTTCTCTTCTAATAAGAGGTTACTTCTATTCCAACAACTCATAACTTACCTATATGTAACTACTCAAATCCTAACATTTTTTTAAGGACAAATACTAATATTATTAACTAATTATTACTTAATTTGATTATTTTATTTATATTATATTTTAAATAAAATACATAGAGATGCTAAATAAATCTTTTTGCACAGGTAATTTTTAGACCGGATAATATCTCAGTTGACGCAAATCTTCCCTTCATAGTAGATTAAGGTAACTCCCTATAACGTATATTCTTATGTTCAAGTTTCTTTTGGCGTCCAATTTTTCAGAGTTGATCATATGACTTCTCAAAATTAATCGTGATGCATCTGCTTAGGTTGTCCATTGCTGTACTGGGTCTTTCAAGTCCCTCAATATATATCACAAATTTGACATGATTTATTAATTGGCTCCAATAAAGTCTCATAAACTTGGGACATGATTAAGAATGAGCCAAAGATACTAGCGACAAATAATTCATTGTTACGGCTTACAAGTATATGATTGAGCATGAAGTTTATTCAAATTATTTTTGCTAAATAGGAAGGAGAAATTCATACATAAACATTTAACCACGTGACAGTGTGAGAAACAAGGACTCACAAAGTTGACGGTCCTATCTCACAAAACAACATGTAAATGCTAATTGCTAAATACATCATTACAATATCTTGTAACATTATTTCATTTACCACATAAAACATTCGTTAAGGATAGGAAAAATTACTAGGCAGTTTAAAACCACCAATATCTGTTATTCAACACTTATTTAAACTTTTTTATTTATACGAAAAACTAATAATACTTAACTGTGTCATATAGAATAAAATTAGTGGTGATCATGATATGGATCCCAAACTGCCTAAATAATATGTTTTTCCTAAGGAAAAACCTCAATAAGAGATCTAAAACCCAAAATGGGAAATATTTTGTAGTGTTTGAATCCTGCTTCAATGAAGAGATGCTTCCATTCTTCTTCAGTTCGCTCTTTTCCATTAATGGTCATCATAGATATATCCTGACAGAGCTTTGTTTGAGTCATATCTTGGTGATCTAACTTTTCATTTATCACTATATCTATGATAATCACTTTCCCTCCATTGCCTTTGCCTGAAATAGAATCTTTACACTTTTCCAGTATCTTAATGCACTTTTCGTCATTCCAATCATGTAAAACCAACTGCAAAGAAAGTAGAAAAAGATAAACAGTTGAGAAATATGCCCTAATGCAGTATTAATTCTTTTTGAAAAATTGTGATCGAAATTCTCTATAATACTTTCTTTGTTATAGTTACTACTATATATTAGTTGCAAATCATAAATTTGTGTGAATCTTACTAAATCATGAGAAAAAAATTTGTGTTTGAAACTTTGTCATGTCTAAATAGACTCATGTCCAACTTTCACGTTGAAGGCAAAAACTACTCTTAGTAATTTAGTGTTTTCACATCTTTTAGGGTCTAAGAGCTTTAGACGAGAAACCAAACAACTATTTAATAAATGATATCCAAGATTCATAAAGTTTATCATTTCTAATATATAACTAATAATAGAAAAAAAAATATTAGAGTGTTGCTAGCCTGATATTCTTTTCTTAATTAGTCAAATCAGTAAAATATTTGGACCTTGAGTAGAACTGCATCAGCTTGAGGGATAAGTTTGAACATGTCACCACCAACGAACCTCAAATTATTGGCTCCAGTCAAGTTTACCACAACCTCAGGACGGTCAAACACAATACATTCTAACTTAGGAAATTTCTCACAGATAATTCTGGCTGCAGTTCCAGTTCCACCCCCCACATCCACAATGGAATCTAGCCCCTCAAAAACTGAAATGCAATTTTTGAGTGCCAACCCTAGCATTTGGGAATCACTTGCCATAGACTCATGGAAGAGACTCAAATAGGCAGGTTTTTTCTCAAGATATTCCCAAAGGCTTGTGCCAAAGGCTGTCTCATGCAGTGTGGGGTCCTCCCCACGAATCCACTCCCCGAAGTGATGGTATTTACTCATCATATGTGGATCAGTGATGCCCAGAACCAATGGAGTTAAACAATGGTCACTACCACTCACTAGAAGCTTTGATGCAGGTGTTAGAGCATATGTTAGTTCATGATTATATTTTTGGCCCTCATGGATATCAAAGATTCCATTGTGTGCCAAAAAACGCATGAACCGATGCACAAAACAACCTTTGGCTGGTGGAATTTGAAGAGCTGAGACCAACTCGGGAAGAGTAATGGGTTTGCCGTGGTTGGATATTATGTCGGGAATACCTAGTTGAATAGCCCACTTAAGACACATGGGTCTTAGGTGCGCACATGACTGCATATACAAAAGATTTTGGCCCTCAAACATCTCATCAATTTCTTTTTGGTTCCTGCTCATTGAACCCATTATTGCTTTGTCTCCTTCACCACCAATGGCTTCGCTTATATAATGTTTTAATCAGCAGTAGCACCCTGACCTAATGCGAGTCAATTTTTTTTTTTTTTTTCATAGAGTATCCACCATTACTGATAAATGTAATTAATCTCCGATACGTAATCAATACCTACCGCTCGACTACTTGCTGTTTAAATCATTTGGTACTATAGCACCTGATTAATAATCATTTCTTCTGTCCATATGCCCCACCACTGACGACATGGATCCGTTGAAATCTGAAAAAAAAAAACAAAAAAAATGTCCACATACCCCACCACTGACGCCGTTGAAATCTGAAAATAAAAATAAAAAATGTCCATATACCCCACCACTGACGACATCGATCCGTTGAAATCTGAAAAAAAAAAACAAAAAAAAAGCTCATGATATACATCTTTTTTTTTTATATATAAGTAGACCTTTATTTTTTTAAAAAAAAATTATAAAATGTTGTAGTTTTTTTTAATTTTTTTAATTTTATACTTCTAACTTTTAATTTGTTATTTTTTTCTTCTTTTTCATATACTTTTTTTTTCTCTTTCAGCTTTCACATGCATCATTTCATCTTTTTTTAATTTCTCACCTATTTTAGTAGGTAATTTTAACTCTCTTTATTTTTACATTACTATATTCTTCTCTCACCTTTTATACTTTTTCATATGTACCTCTTTCACTTCTTTATATGTACTTAGACCATAGAACTAGTACGTGACAATATTGTAAGTATGTGCGACTTTTTTGACAATTTTTACCGAACTAGACACATATTGTTTTCTTCGAACACTTCCTCTTCTTTCACGCTTCCAAAAACCTTAATATTAAGTTTAGTATTATGAAAAAAAATATTTTTACTATTCCAGAACACTATGCGAGATAATAAAATTAGTGTTTTAGTAAGATCTTCTTATTGTATTTTTATACATACTTTCGAAAAATACTTTTTGGAATAATATGTAAAAAAACACAATGAACATTGTGGAGAAAGTCACATACGTCCCTATAATATTCTTAAAAACTAATTCTACATTTTGCATATGTAAAAAATAAAAGTGGGAAGAGAGGAGATAATAGTAGAAAATTGAAAAAAGAGAGAGGAAAAGAATAATATAAAATTAAAATAATTAAAACCATGAAGTGAAGGAAAGGTAAAACAGTGCATTAAAAATTTAAAAAAGAAAAAAGAAAAAAATAAAGATGTGTGAAAAAATTACTAAATTAAATATTATAAATATAAAATTAAAAATATTTTAAAATTTTAATTATTTTTTAATAAAAGTTGGTGTACTTATTAAAAAAAGTGTATATATCATCAACAAAAAAAAATGTCCATATACCCCACCACTAATAAAAATCTCAGTCCATTTTTCAATCTCTTTGGTAAAAGCACCACTGCGTGCGCTTGGATTTTATTATAGCAATTGTACGTCCTTCTCCCAAGTTTTGACCGATAACATTCGAATTAATTATGATTGACATTTATAATTTTTTAATTATAAAATATAATTTTTAATTAATCAAAGTATCATGATGCATTACGAGGATGTAACATTTTTCTTTTATTATACATTTGGAGAAAAACACGTGTCTTTAAATATTTTAAAAATAAAAATATATAATAGTGTGAAGTGTGAGTGGTTATTTAAAGTTAATTAATAATAGTTCTTAAAAATATTTCTTAAAAAAAGAAAATTAAGAATATAATTATTTATAATTATGAAGACGAAAAATAATTATAAGAAGAAATATTTCTTTTATCTATAGACTATAGTTGTTTTGTTTTCCTTGAGTTTTATTATTGTGGCCTACATTAAAAATAATTGTACAAATTAATAAGTTAAAACATCGGTTACGAATGACTCTCTTATATGTGGATTCTCTAAGAAACAAAATATAAAAAAAAAAAATTGCTAATCAAATCGATGAATTAAACATGAATTTTTTTTGAAATATTTTAAATTTTTTGATGAATTTTTTTAAGATTTTTTTAAATTTTTTATTTAATTTAATTTTTATTTATTGTAATTATTTATAAATTAAATTTGTTATGTTTTTAAAATAAATTATCAATAAATAAAATTATTATAATATAAATTATTTATTATAAATTTAAAATAAAAACAAACTTGAGAACTAATCAAAACATCAATTGTATAAACAAATGTATGATAAATCTAACTGAAAACTGAAGATTTGTTATAATATAATCTTGTTTTACAATATAAATTATTTGTAAAGTTAAGAATTTGAAAATGCATGTATTTCTTGAAAAAAAATATATCATAAGTTAATGAATTTGAAAATGTACTTCTTAAAAAAAAATCATGTGTGATTGTTTCATGCCTTTGATTGGCTGCACACTAATTAGAAATTACAATGTTAGAAAAATATACTAATAGTAATCCCAAAAATTGTTTAGAACGATTAAATCAATGTTAAAGATTTGAATAAATATTTTTTAGTGAGAAGGTGTGATTACCGTGTAACTTATTCATGGATGCTAAAGTATTTAGAATTTGTTTAAGAGTTAATCAATTGTCAGTGTAAAATTTTTTACACTGACAACTAATTATATTTCTTAATTGTGATGTCACTGTTAAAAGTAAATGTATTTACAGTGATATGACACAATTAAGAGATGTAATTGGTTACCCGTGTAAAAAAATTTTTACAATAACAATATATAGATGATTAACTCTTAATTTAATAAATAGTTTTTATTAGATTCAGCAATTTATGTGAAATATTTGATATATTGAAGGACTTGAAAGGCTCACTACAGCAACGGACACCACCAAAGATATGCTTGGCCAATATGTTGTATCGATCAAGAAAACTAAGGATATATAGCTAGCACAACTCAGTGCTATTTCACGCAGAGTTTCATCATTGACACATGAACAATTAGATTATTTTGCTGTTTCAAAAAAAAAGCATGAACAATTAGATGTGTCCGAATTCCAATGAAGTTGCAGCATAAAGAAATACGAGGCAAGAGCCTATATATATCAACTTCATACAAAAAGGAGCTTGGGGCTTTATCTCTTCTTCTAATATTGTTGGGATATAAACAAAATTTTATATTTTTAGAGTGAGAAAATTAACTTAGACTTATAAATACATAAAATCTCTTTTTTATGAAGTTTTTTTTTTTTTAGTGATGATGAAAAATAAATTTATTAGAATTTAAGTTTAAAGTGATAATATTACACTAATGCGGAAATGTAAGTGAACAACAACAATATAATATTTTCCTTGAAAAATAGATCTCTACCATAAACAAATATAAAACAATCCATCAAATAATCAATCCAGCCATAACAAGATTACTCCAATTAAAGGTACTTTTCTAGTCTATGAAGAAAAAAAAACATACAAAAAAAGGAAATTTGTAACGACCCACCATGACAAATACACCTCGAAGAGTCACCAACATAGTGGAACTACTCATAATGCATGGATATGCACAACTAAGAACAACTTTATAAGTACATACAGTATGTGTACAACCATCTAGTATAGCTAAACACAGTATAGAATCATAAGTGTCAGTCAAACACTATTATATAAATCATCAAAAGTAGTCCAAGACTACACCATATCAAAATGGTCTTGCAACATCTCCCAAAAGCCTACTCCAGCTTACCCTGTTCTCATGAAAATCATGATCATCACAGTTCAAATCACGTGAAAAACAAAAAAGGGTAAACTAAATTTCAAAAACATACTAGTATAGAAAAGAACATCTATACTACTATCTAACATGTAAACTAGTCAAAAACACACCTCATGGTTGACAACATTCACCAAATAACACAATACCAACATGTTTGGAAACTATATACCAAGACATATCATACAATAAAATATTCATCCAATGCATATAAACACACCAAGCAATAGCACACACATTATATGCATACATCTCAACTAATGTGTTATCATACCCTAAACTCTAAACCTTACACCCTAAATTTGACTAGCAACTTTTTAGTTTGCTACATTATTTGTTACAACTTGAACAACATTGTCTTTCCCCACCTCTTCAACAATGTTATCCACCATCTCAAAAACTTTTTCAATTATTTTGGATATTACAGATGCATTTATGAACTTAAAAAACATAGTTCCCTTTGGGTTATTCACTAGGAAGTTTCTTATTGTCCTACTTTTCTTATCAATCCAACCACTAATCATAATTGTGCATCTAATTTTCTCCCATTCATCCATATGTGCTTGTAAAGAAAGTGGTGTATTTTTCACTTCCTTCTTCAAATATTTGACTCTAATCTCATGATATGATGGATGTTGAAATCCAAGGCCATGCCTTAAAACTAAATCAAACATGGCATTAAATTCCTCACTCTTTGCCACATTGAAAGGTATCACGTTGTTGTAGAAAAATCTAGCCATTACTTGACATGTTTCCTCTTTTGCATTGTTTTTAAACATGTTATCGATAGTAGCTTGTGTGTCAAGTACTCTCTTCTTAAAAATATTTCTAGGACTTTCAATGTCCATTGCTTCATTGCTTTTTCTTTTATCACAAGCTTTTGCACTTTCCTCCTCTTCTTTATTAAGGCTTGATTTCTTTATCAAATTTTGTTGCAAACCAACAACAATTTCCGACATTTCCTTCTTCACTTCATTAGTAACAACCTTGCAAGTTCCAACATCCTTTTGAGTATCATCCAAGTGATGCTTCAACTAGTAAACTTCTCATGTTATTACCTTCTGACATTATTTGCATTGAAATTTCCTAGTATCCCCACCAATTGAAATACAATGCTTCTAAGCTATATCATTTCAGGAGCATTTTTGGGAGCCACCATAATAGAGGAGTTTGGAATTGGATTTGAAGTCATTTTAATGATTGTGTAGAACAACTATCTGGCATAGATAAGATGAGAAATAAAGGAAGTGAAATTGCATAAATAAAGCAAAAGAGTTACAATATATATAGAACACGGTTAAAAAAAATGGATATGGATAAATAAGAGAAACATACAAGTGAAGTGAAGG